ATATATATATATATATATATATATATATATATATATATATAGCATGCGTATGTGCTAGTTTTTTTCCATTATTTTATTCAATACTTTTTTGTGCACTTTACTTTCGTATTTTATACTGGCGCTTCTTACTTCATGCTATGTTCGCACTCTTCTGTGTCGCACGGCTGAGTCGCCTACATGGAAAACTCGGGCCTCTACGGCGCGCAGCGAGCAAAGCAAAGCAGAACAGAGGCAGCCAGACAGCCAGCTGTAGGCAGCAGCGGCGCCAGCGTCGGCGTCGCAGTCGAAACGGCGCCTACATTTACAACAAATAACGACAAGCAAAAGCGCTCACTCACATGATTCCACTCGGTAGCATACATTTTTGCCAAAGCTTTTTGGAATTTTCCCCGCCCAACGTTTTGAGTGACTAACCACTAGCTGTGCTGCTCTAACCCATGAACGGGAGCTTGGGCTCATTACTTCAACGCGCTCTTTGAGTAAGCTGAACGCTTTGTACATATACATATGTACATTTATGCTTTTCTACATATGTGTGCATGAGTGCGTACATAATAGCTTTTAGCTTTTTAACTAGTAATATATTTATTTGCTGTCGCCTTTCATCTACTTCTATTTGTGTTACATAATTTTTTATACGAGCTGCTTACACTCGCGGGTATTCTCTTTCTTTCTCTCTCTTTCTGGTCTCGTTCTCTTTTGACTTTTTGACTTTGAAATAAAAAGTGTTGCCTACTTATTTGCGGCCGGCGCCTGCGCCACGCAAATGAGAGAAGTTCGTCAAGGAATAATGTTGAGTTTTACGCTAAGTATTACATATGGGCAAATTATGCATTATTGATTTGTTGTTGATGAAATAGCCTGCCCCCAAGGAAAGAAGAAAAAATAATAGAAGTGATGTATACAAATGGCACTGATAAGCTCAGCATATGGCACACACAGCTGCGAAAGAGTTATGCCTGACGCCTTTGTTCTCCCTGTCACTTGCCATTAGCTTACGCGGACTCACACTTACACACACACGCGCACACATACATTCACACAAATACAAAGCTAACTTTTGTGGCTCAGCGGAAACGCACAGCTTGAAAGTAGGAAATTGCAAAGTTCTTTGCCAGGTCCGCTGCTCAGTGGTCAGTGCATCAATTGCCTTTAGGGTAAAGTGTCTGCCTGTCTGTCGCAAGAATTCTAATTAGTCTGATATAAATCCAACAAATGCTCTCCAACTTTATTGTCTTGCACTTTATCAATTATAGTTTCTTTGTCTCTGCTTTATATAGCAATCAATTATATTTTCCTTAGCTTCTATTTATTTTCCTCTTTCTTTTTGTAGCCACAAATTGCTTATTACCGTTGAACCGCCCCTCACCTCTGGCTACCTGCGCTAGTTCTGCTTGAGATGAATGTCACGTTCTGGCCCTAGGCGAATTGCGTTTTCCCCTGGGTCATGAGTGAGAACCGCGGATGGCGCATACTTTGTTTTCAGGGCGGGCTTTTCATTTCATTTTATTTTCTTCGTTGGTATAAAATGTTGAAAAAAAAGTTTACACTTGTATTATTGATGGGCCGCAGCGGGATTCTCTTACCTACAACCGTTGAAGGCACCGTTAAACACACTACGCCACAACAACAACAAATTTGTTAAAAATTACTATTTCCTTTTGCACTTAGTGCTGTTCGCGGCGTGACAACAACAAATCTGTTTCGCCACTGGCATTCACAAAAAACACTTTTTTCGAGCCCAACTACAACGAAAATACCAAATAACTGTTATTCACTGCACACAGTTTACAACGCCAACATGCTAAGAGCGGACAACTAGCGAGAGCGTAAATATGTAAGCGACTGAGTCAGAGAGAGAGAGAGAGAGAGAGAGAGAGAGACCGTGTGTTGGCAGTTGCACGGCTGCCAGAACGAGAGCAGCTATCGAGTGGCTCTCAATTCGGTCGCAAACCAGTGGGTTGACTGGCTGACTGACGGGCTGATTGTCAGTTTTGTAAGTTGACCCCAAACGAAAGCTCTTGGCAGAAGAAAGCTTGCTGACTTTAAATTGGCTAGCTGAAAAAAGGCTGATAGTGCAGCAATGCGACAACAAGATATACATACATATGTATGTTAAACGATAAATGTATTTGCCAGGTGCATGCACTGGCAAATTGTTGGCTTATTAAGAAATGCACGGATATGGTAACCGGCGACATCCGTGTGTGTGCATATGGGAGTGTGAGTTTTTCTTGTTTATCGTCTGAATTTTTATACAAATGTTCCGCTTGTAAATTTTTAGCACACGCACCGGAAGCTGTCGAGCGTACACGAAGCGCTGATAAAACAGACTAATGCCCGACTGTCTTGCTCTTGCCCCAAAAAATAAACGGAAAAGTTACTGAAATTTTTACAGGCGAGGTAGCAGCACCTGACTCACACACACAAAGACATACCCACACGCAGGGAACGCGCGCGCGCTTTGCGCCTACATTTGTAACTAATGTATGTGTGTGTATGTGTGCTGCGAGGGTGTAAGAGGCGTATAGGTAATTTATATAAATTATTTAATTAAGCCATGTACGTCAGCACGCAGCGCAGAGCCCATTATTTAGATTAAAATCAAACCCATTACGTTTTATGCCACCTGTCTTTAGCGCTTCCTTCGTTATTATTTTCGTTCCTGCCTAAGCCTCCTCATCCTCTCTCTCTCTCTCTCTCTTTCTATCGTTCTCTGTTTCCCTCTCTCTCTCCTCCGTTAACGTCTATTGGTTTTGTTATGATTGTTCTTGGCATTGCCTTCAGCCACCCCTCCCCGCCTGACTATGCCAGCCAAATTGGCCACATTTGGAGGATGCCTATGGTTTTCGGCTTTTGTTTGATAATTTAAAGACTGATGAAAGAAAGACTTCAACTGCTGCCATTGCTTATGCAGCTTATTCCGTATTGGTGCTCTTCGGTCCCACGTTACAGCGATTACACGTAAATCATTTTATTTACATATGTATGTATAATATAAATGACCGGTTGAGTACTCTATACAAAATATAAACAATACAATTAATACTATTTCATTACATCCTAAGAATAGATAGGACAAGTACATAAATGACATCATCATTTCATAATTATCACTGGACTCAGATCGTTAATATATGAAGATTTGTTATTTATCTATTTATGTTTTCTTGAGGGCCTTAAATTATGATTTGTATGATATTAACATATATGTATATTTGTTTTAGATTTAAATTTATTGTGATTTTCATCTACTAACAAAATACAAATCAGAGATAATTCTTGATAACATATGAATACCAACGAATTTCGTTTAATTTTCAAATAAGAAACTCATTCGGGGAAGTAATCAATTTCACTGCGCATATTCTTTGAATCTCCCCTACTATTGTTTATTTCATATTCCATTTTATATTGTTTTGTAGCTGGAAAATGATTTTGCTTTGAAACGCGATGCCATTGAAAATGCAATGGAGCAATCGCACTTAGCAATGGAGCAATCGCACTTAGCGCTCGGAATTGATTTCTTTTATGCCAAGCCAAATGATAAAGTTAATTTACCCCTCACTGCCATCTGCCAGCTGACGGCCATGATATTTAATGCAAACTGCCCGCACCCTTAACCGCCGCTCCTCCAGCCCCTCATTTCCCTGGAGGCGGCATACACTTGGCGGTCGTCGTCAATCAATGTGAATTCAAGAGCTGCCGCAGCCGCAGCCGCAGCCACAGTCACAGCTAAAGATGACAACTAAACTTCACTTCAGCCGCAGAGAAAACGTCATTTTTTAGGTGGGAAGAGGGTGGTGGGCGTGATGGGGAAGGGGCGTGGTCGGATGTACACGGCGGAATGGCTTAATTTAAAACGGTTTCATGTTGTGATTTTGACAAATGATAATTTTTTTTGCATGCCTTGCTGTGTGTGTGTGTGTGCGTGTGGACGAGTGTTGCAGGCAGGCTAGGTGTATGTATGTGGCAGGCTGTGTGCGATAGCTTTTGTGTTTACTTCGTCATCCCAGCTACGAGTACGATATCTCTGCCTCCCTTTTATGCTGCCCTTTGAGTCTGTAATTTTGTAGTGGTCGATGAGTTGGCACAATGCGCGCGACAGATAAACGAAACCTGCCCCTGCCCCACTCGCAGCCCCTATTTCCTATCCGCTGAGCCCTGTCCCCACTTGCAGAGTGTGTCAAAGGGTCGTTAAGTAAGCAAGCTGCCACACACACACACCTACACACTTGTCCACACACACACTCAGACATTGACATAGTAGAGAAAAGTTTCAGTTTCAGTTTTGGTAGATCAAAAAACTATGTACATCTGGGCTGACTGCTACATGCACCACTCTCTATCTGTCCCTATCTTTCTCTTTCTCTTTCTCTCTTGCTGTCTGTATTCTCCGCCTTCGCAGCACTTTCCTGGTTACAGCTCACTCGGATATACAGTTGAGCGTTCCTGCAATGGACAGTGAAACGGGCGGCAGGACAAGCAATCAACAGCCACCAGCAATGTTGCAACAATTTATTGATTTAACAACCAAAATAAAGGGAAATTTCATATTGCTCGGCTGTCCCAAATGTAATGCTCTTACTCGATATTCGGGGCGTAAGCTGAACCACAAAAATTTCTTTACGGCAACTGGTTTCAATACAAACAGATTCGGGATTCCCTACTGAATATTATGCATGAAGAAAATATTACGTTACAACGTGGAGCAAATGCTTAATGGACTTACTGGGAAGTGTTTATGAGAAGGGCGAGCGAGCTGAATTGCGGGCAAAGTGAAATCGACAAAGCCAATTTCCTTGGTTGTTTTTGTTGCTGTGTCTGTTTCTGCTTCTGTTTCTGTTACTGTTGTAACGTTTCTGTTGACGTTGCCGGGGAAATAGGATTGGGAATAGGTATCAAAGCTGAGCCAGCTCAGTCGGCATGTGGCCAAACCAATAAAGCTGGCAAATTGGGCAAATGTGTGCATATACGGCATGCAGCATGTCCGAAATTATAAACAACAATCAGGATTCGTGTCAGCCAGACCACACGAGTAGTAAAATTGCAATCCTATCGACTTCGACACCACCGCTTCCCATCGATCCTCCATTCCCGTTGGTGGCCGCCTGGCTCGGTTTCGAGACACGCGTCTCGAAGCAGACGGTGAACAGCGTCTGCGTCGACTGGACACCTAGCCCGGAGTCCGTTTCTGTGTTCAGCATCGAAAAGTACCACAAGCGACACGGCTGGCAGCAAGTGCTATGGGCGAGCTCGAGTCCCCAGACCATCCACCACCTGGAAGAGAATTTCGGCTATCGACTACGCATTCGAGCTCTACGACCCTCTCTGGATGGCAGTCACTACGAAACAGTGGCCATTTCACCGGACATCATTGTAAAGCGCTGATTCTTCTTATTATATACATATATAAAATATTTTAGGCTTATTCCTTATAAAATTTTATAGTATCCCAGAAGTCGTTTGAGTTGTTTGCATACGGTAATCAGTTCTGCACTTAGGGCCTTGAAAGCCATTATATATTGGCTAACATATGCATATTTGTAACTGCATACGCTGCATATAAATACTTATAGTCTATAAGTTACAGGTGTATCACTTACTACCACAACAAATCGTCGAATGAGAGTATGCATACAAATTGTAATCTGTGTGTTTGTGTATTTGCATGAGCATGCACATATGCATATGCATGCAACGCGCATAAATACATTATAGTGTAGGCTATTTATACCCTGTAGATGCTATATTTATTACAGGTATTAAGTGATGTAATGCTTTGTAATGATGTAGGCAACCACGGAAGCAGCGCTACCATCCACAAACTGTTTGTATCGAGCCATTCGTAAGTCGCAGCAATTTCTGGTCAAGCGCATGCTGCGGCGGCGACCCAGTCTGGTGGACTATCCTGGTCCGAACGGATATCTCCCTTTAGCAAATGCCATTATTCAGGGCGAGATGTGCGTCATTGATGTCCTCCTCTCGGCTGGCTGCAGCGTGCATCTGGGCAATCCACATAACAAACGCAGCCCACTGCATGTAAGTGGAAAGGATCACTTGGGCCGCTTCAACTAATCACTCGCGTGGTCATTCCAGTTGGCATTCTATCATGGCCATCTGCCGTCGGCCCGAATTTTGCTGAACAAAAAGGCGCAGTTGGAAGCGACTGACTGCAATGGAATGACACCCGCGCATTGCGCCGTTGATGCCAATCAGTTGGAAATGGTGAAGTTTGCCCTGCAGTCTGGCGCCAACCTGGAAGCAAGAGATGCCTGCGACTGGACACTGCTAATGCGGGCAGGTAACGGACTGTTAGAATTGGCTCATTACACATATGTATACACCATATATTATGTATATGGTACTTGTTCACTTCAAAGTCAAATCTTATTATTTAGGCTTAACTGCCTTTCACCCTTACACCCCACAGTGGTCATGGATGCTGGACTGGAGCTTATCAAGCTTTTGGTTACACACGGTGCCAAGCTCGGGGCTCGCGATGGGCTAGGCAAAAGCTGCTGCGATTTAGCCAGACTTTATCGCCGGCAGCAGGCAACGGATTATTTCGACAAGGTACACGAGTTTCGCCAGGAGCAAGCGAAGGCTACGCAAGCTTTGGCTAACACATCACCACAATCCGGCCAAAAAGATTAAGTGCAGCCGGCCGGCTAACAGTATGAAATCTGTCGAAGAACGCGTTAATGAATGTCCCTCTGACAGCTTAACTCATGCATTACCCTAGATAACTACTAGTCTAGGAGCTAGGTTACTTGGAAGAGCACCATAGATTCGAAGAACACTTCAGACTTCATATTCAAATAATAATATGTATTAGCATATTAATACTACAAAAAGTATATATTTGTATATATACTATGGTTTATATGATAAGTTAATGAATCGAACTTTGATTATAAAAAATATTAGACTCTAAATATATTTTAAACGCAATTTCTTGTGATTTCCGTCTGATAGCCGCAAGAGTAAGTATTAAAGAAGTCCGCGTTTTCCTTGAGGCCCAGGTAAAAAACGTGCTCGGCCAGCTCCTTTCCAAACTCACAAAAGTTCTGGGCGAAGAGTGTGAAGAAGATTCGCTTGTTGCTCAACTGGTAGTGTCGAAGTATCTCGTTTTCTTGGTCGTAGATCGCGCGATGCTTTGTCGAGGACTGTATCCAATCGCTATACTCTTGCCAAGTGTGCCTAAAGCTCTTTAGATAGATGACGGCTAACATACGAGCCTCGCTTAGCACGTTCACGTACTGGGGCAGCTTGAGGCACTCCGCCTCCTCCCGGAAGTGCGTTGAGTCCCGTTGCCGCTCGCTAATGTTAAACATGGTCATGTACAAATGCACGGTGAACGTGGGATAGAAGTAGGACATGGGTTTGTACCGACTCTGGTAAAGATACAAGCTCCAGTCAAGCATCGTCCGCTGCACACCCAGCTCGAAAGTTGAGTTGCGCTTTCGATGCTGTTCGAGATTCCGCAAATTGTGCTCGTAGCTCTCGCGATATATGCGCAGACCGGCGTACTCTCGGTTCAGGTCTCCGGCATAGAAATATATACTGGGCGTAGCAAACTTTTCCTTATAGTTTTGTAATCGATTCCGCAATGGATGGGAGTCGGTTCCAAAAACTGATTTACTGCGGTTCACAAAGCGTTGGATTAGATCCCGAAAGTCACGCAACTCATGCGAACTGCCCTCCACTAGGTCTTTGGTAATGATGTAGCCAAAGAGCGGTTTGAAGTACTCAAATGTCTCGCGATAGCAATCTTGCAAGGACTTCAGGGTGTTGCACGATATGAAGAAGTCGATTAGCTTCTGCTTCGCTTCGAACTGCTCCGGGTCGTTTTGCAGCTTAGTCAGCAACTGAATGAGATCGCTGCTGGGCGGCAGGTGACCTGTAGGGGATTTAATAATTTAATGGCAAGCTAGATAAACTAATGATTTGCTTTCCATTCAGCTGATCGAGAGGCTGAATATATAATTAGGTATCCAATCATTTAGGTACAGAATACCACTATTTTTTATATTCGTACCCACCCATAACCGAGAAGAGAGGACGATTGCGACTGCAGACGTAGTCGTAGTAGCTGTCGCAGGCGTATTTCTGGGCATTGATAGAGTGCTCCATGCGCATAGCCAACTGGCTTAGTTCTTTGATGCGCAGCTCGGAGAGGTGGCCTGTGTATGCAATCTGCGCCGCCGTAGCAACCAAGCACGCGCAAAGGAGAACACACAGTGCAGCAGTCCACATTTTACACTGTTGCTTAATTTCGATCTCAGGGTTGCGCTTCGCTTTCAGCTCTTCTCGTTGTTGTTTCCTCAACGCGTATTCCAGTACACTAAGCATCGAGCTGTATAGCCAGCTATGTTGCTGGCATCCGCCGTTGCCCAAGCTCAAGCGCTGATAAGAGCTGATGTCGAGTCGTATCAGCAGCAGTTCTATTGCTCTCCCGCTGCTTTGCTGACTTAATTATACCCCTTACGAAAAGGAAAACTCTATAGGGTATTATGATCCATCTATGATTCTTAAACTATGTTATAGACTCGTTGAAGCACCAGATCTTAAGTCAAGTCCAAGAAGTAGGGTAAATTAGGTACCATACACGTATTTCTGATCACTATAGATTATCCAATTTCCCTTCTAATTATGGGTGACCCATCAATATATCTGACATGCAAGCTAATCATTATTTCCTGATTATATTCAGTATATTATTGTAAAGTATAAAAAGGATGCTCATCAATTATAGGGAATCTACTTGTCTACATTACAAATTTTGTCCGTCATTAAAAGTTATTCACATTTTCAAGACGCTCCCCAGTTTTTAAATGTTCGCTCTGGCTTGGTTGTATATATCAGTACGCCGCTGCTTGTAGATGGGAATCTGGCGACGCACTTCATCCACCGTGTCGAAATCTATTGAGAAGTGGGACATTTAGTAGGTCTCTTCGCGGAAAGTAATCTACTTACCAATTGTTTCTACAATCAGTTCACGACCCTGGCCCGCCTCGCGCAGTACCCTCGCCCATGGATCTACTATCATCGAGTGTCCGTATGCCACATAACCGGACATGTTGTCGCGGGCGGGAGCACAAGTGACCACAAACAGTTGATTATCCATCGCACGGGCTCGCTGCAAGAGCTCCCAGTGCATGGGGCCCTGGCAGATGCAGAAAGCGGAGGGATACACAATCATGGAGCACCCTACACCGTCATTTACATACATATGTACATATTTATAAAGTATAAGTATAATACTTTCTAAAGGCTTATCATAGCAGAAGCACTTACCCATGTTTCGATAGAGACGCGCCAGCTCCTCGAACCGCTTATCGTGGCAGATGCCGATACCGACTTTTTGCGCACCGATTTGCACCACAGTCAGCTCGTTGCCTGCGGTCAAGGCTTCACCCTCATCGAACTGCACACCGCCAAGCTGTTCCGGTTCGATGTTCATATTAAAGAGATGCAGCTGAAAGCAACGAGGGGAGGCTGCAGATCTACTTAATTATGTGCAATGCACTTACCTTCCGATGGCGGCCAATTAGTTGTCCATTCGGTGCCCAAACTGTGCACGTGTTGTACAGCTTATTGCAGACATCCCGCTCAATTATGCTGCCGCCAATGATATAGATACCCAGCTTTCTGGCTAGATTGGACAGCGCCCGACAAGTGGGACCATCCGGAACCGGTTCAGCATGCCGCCCGAACTCCTCAACGCTGTAGGGGCCATTGAAGCTCTCCGGTAATATTGCCAGCTGTAGCTGTGGATTGTTAGCTTTTAGCTGCGTTATGCTTTCCAGAGCCCGACGGACATTATCCGCCACGTCCTTGCCTACGGGCAGCTGTAGCAAGCCCAGTGTAAGTTCTATTTAAGAGGTACAGATTTCTATTACGACTCCAGTGATTTTATACGTTTTGCTTACTGTTACTCATCGTATATTTTGTATGGGATAGACAACACAACCACAAGCGCTCGCTAGCACACTCTGTTCGAGTTAATCGCACGACAGTTGCCAATTGATGATTTGTTCACAACATTTTTCCCATTTTATAGCTCGATTTTCAATGCACCTATCTGGGCCTAACAACCTTGTTTTTGAATTGTGTTATCAATCAAGATGCGATTTGTATTTTTTTATTATAATTCAATGTCCCCTTCAAGTATTTATAATCAATAGAAGCCTTTATATTAAATCGGAGCTGATTTTTATTTTTGCATTGTGTATTTTACTCTATCGACTGAATCAGCGTTATAAACGACATGGCAGCCCGAAGAATCTGTATAAAATCAAAGTGAGTTATCAGATGCGCATTGACATCAGTTCAATCAATTACTTACCGCTAGAAAATTGGCCAAGGAAGCCTCGTAGAAGCCCGCCTTGATGAGCACCTCTCGTTGGGAGCGATGCATGATAAAAATCAAGGAACGTCTTTGTTTGTGGGTAGCCGAATGCCAATTGGATGTCTGGACAGCCACCCCAACTCGTAGGCCCTGAGAAAATATACAAGACTTTGTACAAATATAAGCTGAATACCAATATGCTCAGAGACATTTAATCTCAGATAGAGACATATGTTAATAAAAGTACGAGTGCAGGTACCTCCACTTTGATAACCTCCCCACCATAACAGTATATGAAGAGCTGTAGCATTATGGAGCAGAAAAAAGAAAAGTACACAAGAAGGGCCATGATGGAATCCAAGTGCTGCAAAAGTACTCTTCGCTTCAGCTAGATGTGTAATATTTATAATAGTGTATATAGTCACCGTCACGATCTGGTAGATTATGACGCCCACCTCTAGCGAGGTGATAAAGAACTGTCCAAAGACGATGGGCGTGTAAATGTGGCGCAGTTGCCTGGACAGGCTAAGCAGCTGCACATGGTAGTCGACTACATCGGCCATTTGCTTCTCTACCAGCTGCTCTTCCTGCTCAAAGGCCAAGAGGTTAATGTTCTGTTGTAGCGCCTGGAAATGGGCGCGTAAATTGATCGCAAACGATATGAACAGCCCATCCACAGCCGAGGCATACAGCACCACAAAGATAGTTACGAACAGGGTATAGATAAAGCCAATTTCGTAGCCCGGACTCTCGACATCATTGAAAGGGAACCTGTTGATAGGAGCAACAAAACGGGAAAACAGTAGGATAAAATGTGCACGAAATTAATATGGAATTTTCCCAGAGGCATATTCTACTAGCTGGTGAATTGCCACAAGTGAAAACAGATTGTTATAAAAAAACAAAAGTTCAAAGTTCAAGAAAGGAAGTTTACTGGGTCATATATACAAGGAAAAAGTGTTGAGCCCAACACTAAAATAAAAATGAAAATAAAAACAAAAACAAAAAGTATTTTAGTTTAAACTAAAAATTTTTGTTAGGAAATAAAATTATATTTGTATGGAGGTAAAGTTTAGGACCAAAAGTCGTGCAGACAAGTGGACTAATATACCCTTCTTTACTTTACAAGCAAAATATAAAATGCCAGTACCCTTGTAGACACATTTCTTAAGAATGTCATTTCGAAATTGTGAAAAAATAAAAGGAACTAAGTAGACCTTCCTTTCCTTTTATCTTTACTTTCTATGCAAAGCAGCTGCAAAGGACAAAGGTTTCAGGGTTTTTATATCACCCCCATCTCAGAAGCGAATATCAGCTTAGCCAAACGGAGACGGATTACCCCAGCTAATACAACGAAAAAAAAAAAGCTCAGTCACGGCGATAAGTGTTCTTACTTCATAGGCATGGGCAGCTCCCTATCATAAGGCACGCCCCGCCAGTTGTTGGTGACAATCTTGATGATGGGTCCAAGCATGAAGTAGAGTCCAGTAAAGCCGCAGGACAGACAATACGCACGGCCCAGCAACGTGGCCAATTTGTTACCGTGCTCCACATACCCATAGCCTTCTGTTCCATGTTGAGCTGTGCATAGTTTGAAGTTTAATTAGTATCAGAAATATATACCATTGACTGTGTTATTTTTATCAGATAAGTATATGTGTATTTAATTATCTTTGGGATAGAACTAGAAATTAATTTCTGTATTAATTTTGACTTGCCAGAAGCAGCAAAATATATAAGTAAGTTGCACCTAATGAACCTAATAAATAAGATTGCTGCCTTACCGTACTTTGGCGCATAAAGTAATTAATGTGATTTACATTTTGAATCAAGTTGTCTGAAACTCTGCATCATTTGAAAGAAGCTTCGTTTGTAAGCGAGGAACGTCCATATCTTGGTGACAGTCACCAAGTTGGTGAATGCGACACTGAGACAGGCCGTAATCAGCTCCATGTCATCCCGATTATAGACGACATACGACAGCATTGGATACTCGGCGGACAGCACGAATACTAACGATACAACGTGCCGAAGGCCAAGGGACGGACTCCCCTCACCAGAACTCTCCATGTTGTGACCCATCAGGCGCAGACAGTTCTCCTGCAGCTGGAATAACCGAGCCATGACTTGACCTGCCGATGCTTTCTGTGCTCTGTTTAAAGAGCTGAGGGCAACTAGTCTATATATAGAGACGAGAATCAATTTTAATTGGTAGCCTGTTCAGTTAATTGTACATTTGACAATATCCTCGCTAATAACTGTGATTGTGAGGACATTTGTTGACATGTTGACATCATGAATTATCATTGGTGACACTAATTGGCCGCTTGGTGTGGGAGTCCCATAGTCACCTTTCCACGCTCCACGCTCACCTCCAGGCTTTAAAGCGAATGTTCGCAATCGTTTTACTACTTGTTTTAAATAATCCAGAGGAACGAACTGTGCACAATCAAAACCTAATCAACTCATAACAGTCAAACACAACAAATAACGCAAAAAAAAAAAAAAAAACACACACAATCTTACGTTTTGCTTTACGTAATTTCACTTTTTTGGCTTATTAACTCAACTTGTTTTCATTAGTGGAGTTGACCATGAGAGGCATCGAAGTTCTATCCGGAACCTCAAGAGAGCTTTGACTTTTTATCGAACAGTTAACACAAAAAACTGTTTTCGCTCTCTTTGAAGAAATCACAAGTGAATTGAAGATTTCAAAGTGTAGTTAACGCTCTTTTCTTTATATCCACAAAATTATAGTTGCTAACTAAGAAAGTGATTTTGTGTGTGTGCGTGTGGTTTTTTTCCAAGTGTTATTGCTGACATTCACCGAAAATGTGGTCTTTATAAATGGAGACTTTGCCTAGCTTCATCCCTGACCTCAAACAGCTTAGAGACTTAATTATTTCGCTCAACCTGAAAAACATGCTCAATCAGTCATTAATTATAATTATAAAAATACTGAAGAAAACTGATTAGGTTTATAAATCCCATTTGGATTTAAGAAAGCAAAAGTTGTTTTATCTCAGCAAACATTTGAATAAGCTCTGAGGAGGTGAAACCCCTGCTGCTTAAGGTATGTACAGAATAAGCAATACTTATGAAACTTGTAAGAAAAAGAGTAATCCTATGAATAATTTAAAGCTGGTCACATATTTAAGTAGTAGTAAGTAAAGATTTCACTGATCAAAGTTAATTGAAAATGCAAAAGTTATTTTTAACAACAATTCAAATTTATTAACAACCAGTTTGAGGGATTAAAGGTAAGGGTTGAGCTCAACTGCTTTAGAAACTGGGCGGCAGATAGGCATTGCTTGTGTGGCCATGTCCACTGGAGACAGTCTGATGGGTGATGACCTGTCCGGCAGAAGCACCAATACCGGTGCTGCCAACAGCTGTGGCGCCGGCATCACCACCAGCTTGTCCACCGAGGGCGCCGATGACAGAGGTGACAGGGGCGACACCCTCATCGGTCAGTTGGCTGGTTCCGCCAAGGGAATCGTATTGGGCCTGGATCTGCTGCTGGGCATGTGCCGCCTCCTCGTTGGTCTTGTACTTGATGAAGAAGACCTCCGGCTTGCTGGTGGAGCTAGGCTGCTCGACAACCTCGGCATGGACGTCGGAGCTGTCGGTCTTCTTGCTCAGCACATAGATGACAGTCTTGTCCTCGTTGACGGCTGGGCTGATCTTGATAGAGGTCTTCTTGTTGGAGCGCTGTGGCGACTTGATGAAGACTACATTATAGTTGCGTTTGGGCACGCCCACTGTAATGTGACGCTCCTTGTACTCCTCTTCAATGTCCTCGGGCGCCGAGTGAATGAAGAAGCGTTTGGACACAATCGGCTGCTGTTGCTGCTGCTGCTGATGTTGCTCTGCATGGTACTGCTGATTTACACCGGACTGTTGCTGGAAGAACGTCTGCTGCTGGGGCTGTTGATAATGGACCTGCTGCTGCTGCTGCTGCTGAGCTGGCTGGAAGAAGCTGGCGCCACTGCCGCTGATGCTGCTTAGACCTGCCACAGCTGAGGGGCCAGGATTGTAGTTGTAGCCTTGAGGTGCGGCCAACGCCACGGTAGAGAGACACAAGACCTACAGATGAGTATATATAAGAAGTTTGGAGTTACTCCTGATTAAGCCTGTTCCTTACAATGAATCCACGCATTTCTGTACTTGGTTGAGCTGTCTGGATGGATGATTGGTTGGTAGTTTACTTGGCTGTTCGCTGTGAACTGTATGACTCTTGCCATCTTCAGCTGACTTTTATACGCTCTTCGCTTTCGACAACTTAATAAGTGAAGTTCAGCTTCAATATTTTTTTTTTACATTTTTCTATTTCACTTTAGTTTTTTCTTTCCCTTTTTACGTTGCATGTTCATTGTTTTTGTTAGACTTCGTCTTCGTCTACTTTTTTGGGTCTTAGTTGTCCGTCAAATCGCCTTCGCCTTCGCTTTTCAAAAATCTCTCATTAAATACCGCGACTTGCTTGTAGTTGGCCCACGATACACGGCCAATTAGCGTGATTCCCCTGCAAGCCTTTTATACTTGCTCATTAGTTGGAACAGGAATATTAGTTTTGTATCAAGTTCGACTCCGAACGCAATTAAACAAAACTTTTAATATTCAAGTAGTTGGCAATAGTGTCTTAGTGTAACTCACATCAGATGATAGCACATCTTATCATATCACAACTTAAGTAGGCGAGCCTCAAGCAACTCTAAAACATGATGATACAAGAAAAGTATCTGCCTAAGCGAGTATCGTACGGCTGTTGCTTATCGACTCTTGTACTGTTGGCTTTCGGCTCTTTGTCCACTTTTGCTGCCGAGCTCTTAATTGTTTGCCACAATCCAAGTTTCAGCACCCGAGCTGCCATTATGTGGTTGGACCCTTTGGGCCACGCATCGATTAAATGTTATTAAAGGCAGGAATTACATAAACACCTAATCAATTTTTAGTACATCTCAGAGACTAAGAAATTGCTTGAACTACAAATTTGAAGCCCTCTATTCTCCTCTGTCCTCTCTGTTCATGCTCTTGTTCATGCTCATGCTCATGCTCATGTGTTTTCAGGCTTAATTAATGACCCGTCGAGCTTCGAAAATTTTGCATGTGAGCCGGACGCCTCTGCGAGGCCCCATTTATCATGGAGTGAGATGCATAGAGAAAGAGAGAGAGAGAGACAGAGAGAGAGAGAGAGAGAGAGAGAGAGAGAGAGAGAGAGAATGAAAGAGAGAAAGATAGAGAGGGTGATAGAGATAACGAAAGAGAGACATAGTTCCATATCTCCAGCTGTCCGAGCTGGCCAAGATTAATTTACTTTTGATTATTTGGACAAAAGCCCTTTGTCAATACATGAAGACGGCGGCAATTGTTGGCCTAAACGTGACGCCCATCCAGCTATTTGCGACTGGTGTAATGAGCCGTTTACTCGGCAGCCGAGCCAACCGGCTAACCATAGCTAACCTAGGCTAATGAACATGCAATCCAATGCTCCCTCAACGCTTCTCATTAGCAAGTTCCTCACTCAAGTGCCGGCGACTGGGTCGGGGCTAAGCCACAACTTGAGGGCGTTGCACAATAAAACACCGCATGCCACTTCACGCAATATCTGAGAAACATTTGGTGTTGTAAACCAAGTCTGAAAAATTATTAAGAGGTCATAATATATGTTATTGGTAAAATGTAAGTACTCGAAACATTAATTATAATAAATACACATTAAATGAGTTTCTTTCTAGTAAAGAATTATAGGTAAACCCATAAAAATGCAATGACAGACATAAGTAATATCTATTTACTTTTAAATTCAATGGTGTCAACAGCAAGAATTCATAATTAGAAGATACTTTCTGAATATTCCCAAACAATACAAGCCCTTTCCTCTGGTGAGGATTCATTTTAAAGCAACAAATTAAGCGGGCGCTGCGCGCAAAGCTTTTAGCTCAAGCAATAGCTTAGTCAGCAACCGTTATTAGGTATCGAAACCAAAAGATGACTTAAAGACGTTGAGCTTTGCATTTCTCGATTAACACATTTGTCAAAGACTCAAGAGCCAAGTTTTTGTTTGGTTTTTGATGTTGTTTTGAAAAGAAAAACCGTTTTTTTGAATACTTTTTTAATTTGTTTTAAAAATGCCGCATTGAGCAACGCTTAGCTTGGTGAAAATGACATAAACCAATTAAATAACTCATCATTTTCATATGGTTTTTACCGAATTTTGTTGCTAATATCTGATATATACATATTTTACTATAAATGTTATGCATAATATTTTAATGATTTAATTCGATTTTTTTTTTTTTTATTTATTTACTTTTTTTCTTTATTTATTTTTTATTTTATTTGCAGTATTGGTAATTGCTGTGTATTATCGCAAAAACCTTGACCATGTTAATTTCCTATGCACGCCATCGTCGCAAAAGTGAAAATTGTGGTCATCGGAAGAGATTTAAATATAATATATTATATATGAATATAAAAATGGCACGGCGGGCGTAAAGAAATTGTTGTTGAATTTCGTTTCAGTGATGCAACAATAAATCGCTAATGAGCCGTTGAGCCCTGTTACACAATCCCAGCAACAACAGCAACCACAGTACACAAAGGAGCATCGAGTGTTTTGAAACAAAAGAACAAAAATACAAACTATGTCGATTGTAGCGTGGATCATGCGTGGGGCTTATATCTTCAGCATTTACGGCTAGCGTTATTATGAGTGTATATCAAAATCACATACAGATAAAATTTATTACAAATGACCAGACACAGCGTTTTATTAATCTTCGATCATACATCAAAACATCATCGTCATTATTCAGGCGAACATCTGCACAACCAAATTATGACCCACATATTCCAAGTGTTTTATAGACATTGATTGATTTTGCAACAAAGCAAAACAAAATATATTAATTAAAATTTTATTTATAATAACTATTATTAAGGCAATACTGGATATATGTTTGGCAAGCAAGCAAGGGTATATATTTGATAACATATCATATTTTTGACCCAATGATGGACATTCGTTGATTATAAGAAACTATTATTTAACATACATATATCAAATTATTTTGTACAGAAATGCGAATTGGTCATCTAGTAGATTGCGCCAAAAAACTGAAGAATTAAATTTGAAATTTTCATATTTGTTTTTTTTTTGTTTTTTTTTGTATTTTCCTAATTCAGATAAAAGATTCAGAAAGCATATTTAGATAATTGCGCTGTTATAACTTCCAAATTTGTAAAAATAATAATTGAGCTGTAATAAAGTTACTTGTGTCTACTTCAGTTTTTGTTATAGTGATTCCCGCAAAAAAGAAAATTACATACATAATGACAATAACATTTTAAAAAGCCAAAACAAAAAAAAAATTGATAGATCATATGGACAGGTAACGTCTAGTCTACTGCTCTACTGGGGGTTATGTAACGCGAGCGCACAGCCCAATTAAATGCCACGATCCGCAAATTGAACTGGGTCTTTGCTCAACTGGGTCAGGCGATCGACAATGGCCATCGAAGCGATTTATGAACTGGCCAAAAGCTGTGCAATTTGGCGCGTCACTAATGACAATTTCGCGCGATGTGTGCAAGTTATGTTTAATTATTGATGCGATATTGCGGGCAGCTCTCAAAAATAAATCCCTTCAACGAGCTTCAGCGAAATTGAATTGTTTGTCGGGCTCTAAACAATGAATATGCTAATTCATATATGACTTCCGGCGAGTCGGATTGTATGAGTGTGTGTATAAGCCCCAATCTATATTATCTGGTATATGACGCAGCCAGTTACTTGTGTAAGTGTGGAGAGTGTGAGTGCTAACGACTGTGTCTCAAGGTTGCTCAAAAGAAAACTGGTAAGAGTGATATAGTCGGCTGACAGACTCTTAGGTGGCCTGTAAAAAGTCTGCAAGCTTACAATAACGTAAATCGGTGGTGCAAAGAAGCATACAAACTAAGTGAATAGTTTATATCAAATATGTTTCAAGATATTTGAATGCAAACATAGATAAAAGCTGTTAACTTTCAATCCGACCACTTGCAGTTGCTCATCAGCAGTATACCCAAAATTTATTTGTGCCAACAGGGTATTACAGAGGTAAGTTGCTTCAGTGGCGCTTGTGAGATCTGTTGGCCCCCGCTCTTAGTAGTATTTGTTGTGGTCTCTGATGGTTTTAGTTTCATTTGAACTCTGCTTCGTCGCTCATCAAGCCAAGCAGCAGCAGCTCGATCATCATCACAATAGATTTGGGTGTCCGCTTTATAAGTGACAGCCAGCCACTGATTAGCATTTAGTTGGTTTCTGTTAATCGACAGACCTGGTGCTGCTCTTCAAAACCAAACCTTCAATCGTACGAACTCGAGCCGAAATGCGCGCGCTTATTGTAAGACATTGGACTCAGTCCACGTTAGCTTGATTTCTCATGTGTTTACCGTTAGGTTACGTGCCTCTTGGGCGTATCGCTGGCCAAGCCGCAAGGATACAATTACCAGGCGAGCCGCATAACTGGCGGCTTGGCGGGTCTGCAGCAACAACAGCAAGGAGCAAGCCTGGATGAACAACGACTGCTACAACAGGCACTGCAGGCACCCAAGGTTCAGCAGCTGCTGAGTACACAGCCGACACAGAGTCAGCAAGTCTTCCAGCAACCCCTGCAACAGCAGATTCTCCAGCAACCACAACCGCAGCAGCAGCAGCTGATCTTCCAGCAATCGCAACCGCAAGTGCAGCAGCAGCAGATCTTCCAGCAACCTCAGCAGCAACAGCAAATTTTCCAGCAACAGACTTCCAACTTTGCTTACAATCAACTGGCGCAACACCAGGCCTACAGCCCAGTTGTCTCAAAGGATATATATGTGCATGTGCCACCCGCCGAGGAACCTGAGGAGCGTTATCCACAGCCCGTGCTGCCTGCGGGTCCACCTCGCAAGCATTATCGCATTGTGTTCATCAAGGCACCCACATCCAGTGTCAGTAAGGCAGCTGTGCGTGTTCAGCAGGCTCCTGTGGAGGAAAAGACCATCATCTATGTGCTGACAAAGAAACCAGATCCTCTTGAGCTGCAAACAGCCATTGAAGAGGCAGCGCCCAAACCCATAAGCAAACCAGAAGTATTCTTTATAAAGTACAAAACGCAGGAGGAAGCGGCGCATGCGCAACGCACCATACAAGGTTCGTCCGAAACTTAGCATACGGCCGAAAACTTGTAGTTCTCATTTTAAACCCCAAGAAATGCTTGAAAATTTGTGTGAGTTGGAGGCCAACCTGTATGGCTCACTCATTACGGGCTTATGCTCTTTTGTGCACTTTTGTGCACTGCTATTGGTCAGCTCACGTGATCCGCACGAGTGTGCGTGCGTCTATTGGGGCCACGCATCTTACACATACATATGCATCATAGATAGCATGAAAATTAATGAAGATATCTAGCATAGACATATTTCGCAGTTAATTCTCAAATGGTTTTTATGATTTTCCAGCTCAATACGATCAGCTGGGCGGCACTACACAAGTATCTGATGAAGGTGTGGCACCGGTAACATCGGTCATCGGATCCCTGGACAATCAGCGTGGAGGTCTGTCAGTTGGTGGACTCGGAACAGCTGGCGCAGCTGTTGGAACTGGTTCAATTGGTTCCATAGGGGGTCTGACAGGCACAATATCCAACAAATATTTGCCCGCCCATTTACGGACATAGAAAATTGACTGAAATGAAAAGAAACGTTATTGTTGTAGTTAACTAAGTAACAAATTGTTATTATGTATTGTATGTGTGTATATATCTAGCTAAATAAACATTCCTCTTCTTCTCCGACCTTTGAGCGTGTCTTTCACAACTTTTCCCATTAACACAGTAAATTTGACAAAGGCGATCACGAATTGAATTCAAAGAAAAGAAGACGAACTTCATTTATGCCTCTGCATTGCAACATTTGGTTAGCCGGTCGGGAAAACCGGTCGGTGCGATTAGCATTTGATTAGTCTTGCATAACTGCCATCTACATATGCATAATAAAGCCACAGAGCAATATCTTGGCAGTCCCCATATAAAAACACATAAGACATTATATATAAGTGAGTGAACATTCCAATTTTATTACCTACATATATGATAAGGGAGGATATATGTGATATATAAAATAGCTCAGTTCATTAGCATATTAATTTCGGCTTTTAATTGGTATCTCCAAATATCTTAAACCAGGAAACCTTTTCTTACAAAATTGAAGGTCTACTCAAAACAGATATTATTGGAGCTAAATCAATATTTAATATAAATATAGTTAATGTAAGTGCGTATGAGTCGAATCATTGGGAATAATCTTGTATTGCTTTTACTCTTTTCAAGGCCCAAAAGTTAATGTTAAATAAATATCCCTAGCTATTTATATTGTGATAGGTAGTATGATTAATTAACAGACAAGGCTATATGTCAATATATCAAGGCTATATACTAATATTTTTATTGACACTAATAATTAGGACCTAACTTAGTGGTAGGGAAGACGATGTGTTGGTTACACGTAAATTATATTACAGTGTAAGTTCATAGTTATGGAGAACACTTATCAAAGCGCAACTAAACTGTTAACTAAACACTTCAACGCCTCAGCATGATGCATTCATGCAGATGCAAAAATCCACCAAGTTCATTTTATTTTTCTATACAGTAATATATTTCGATGGCTTTGTCAATAAGCTACAACACCTATATTTGTATATTATATAATCATGGCTTGAATTTATATTTCCAGTTAAAATATATATTTGTTTTGATGTGAATATTGAATTGACAATAAATTAGAATAAACTACAATCGAGGGATTCTTTAAGCTGAATACATGAAATGCGTTGGGGCTGCTTATTTAGTTTTGGCTGGGATGTAGCGCTTGGATGGCACGTTGACGCCAAAGTTCGTTGACACCGAGGGGGTCTGTAGACCGCCCTGGAGTCCAATGTTACCCCCGCCGATCGATGGCACAAATGAGTTCGGCTGCTGGATGCTTTGGCTTAGGATTCCCTGACTGTTTTGGACAATTGTCTGGGTCTGCGTATGATGAAGTTGCTGGCGCTGCTGCTGGATGGACTGGGGGACAATGTTGCCCAGGTTGAGGGAGCCAGTGCCCGAGAAGCTGGTGATGGGGGCCACACCCTCATCGGAAATGTGTGTGGCACCGCCCAAAGCGTCGTATTGCGCTTGAATTTCCTGCTGGGCCCGCTGAGCCTCCTCGGAGGTCTTGTACTTGATGAAGTAAACCTCTGGTTTGTGTACCTTTGGCTCGGTTTGGGCCAGCTGCAGATGCTGGTGGATCTCATTGATATCGGGCTTCTTGGACAGCACATAGATGACGGTCTTCTCCTCGTTGCTGGCCTGGGCGCGCTTCAAGACTGCAGCCGTGTGCTTCAGATTCTGTGTGGGTGCCTTGATGAAAACAATGCGGTAATTCTTGCGAATGGGCGTGTTATCCAATTGCGGAGATGACTGCAGCTCCTCAGTGTCATCGGGAGCTGAGTGAATGTAGATGTCTTTTGTCACGATCGAGGGACGCTGCACGTACTGCGACTGCACGAACTGCTGTTGGGGCTGAGAAACAATCTGGGGTGGAGACACAATCTGTGGCTGTGGCGGATTCAGGACCTGCTGCTGCTGATAGTTCTGCACAAACTGCTGTTGCTGTTGCTGCTGCTGCTGCTGCTGCTGAGGCTGAACAGGAATGGAGGGCACAAACTGTTGCTGCTGCGACTGCTGGAAGACCTGCGGCTGGGATACCGGCTGAGGGGCCTGAATCACATTATTAAGCACAGGTGAGATGGGTTGCGAGAGGGACTGCTGTCCAGACACACTGTATATTCCACTGGTAGAAAGCGGCGTCTGCGGACGCAGATTGCCAACTGGCAGAATCGGCGTATTTTGCTGATATTTGTAGCCTTGTGGAGCAGCGACGACGAGCGCCACGCAAGACAAGCACTGCAAATATATATAGATATTCCGGTTTAAATAGCCCTTGACTCCTAGAAGCATGCGACTTACCACTAGAAAGCTGAACCGTTTCATTTTGGTAAACTAAACTTCTGCTCGAGCAGCTTGAGCTGAACTGATGCCTCAACAGATCTCTAGCAAAGGTTTTTATAAGATGCTCTCCCTCACTGTCGGCTGGGCATAAAATTATTCAATCTATTGTCCAGCTCCAGCTCCATCTACATAGTTGGCAAATCACGGAACCATATTCGGAAATATTCAGATGAACGCATTAGAGCTGCATCTCGCATAGTCAGCCGTTATATAACGATAGCCAACTTGATATTTAAATTTGTATAATCACATAATATTTCAACGAGCGATGCGGAATTAATGCGAAATATTATTGGTTAATACGACACATCAATGTATCAAACACTACTCCCTCCAAAAGAGAGTCATTTCATATGCATATGCAGCTGTCCCGGACCCAGACCCAAACCCAGACCCAGACCCAGACCCATGCCCAAAATCAAGCTGAAGCCCACAGACCCAAAACGTTTAGTGATCGGCAAATTAGTAGTTCGTTGAGTTGTCCGGAGCGAACCTTATGCATAATTTAGTTCAGCCTCTCAAAAAAATAGAAACAAGTTAACCAAGCGATATAAAAAAATAAAAATAAAAGTGTAAACAAATTTTTGTTTTCAAAGAAAGCAGTTTATGGTTTCAAGTCTCTCAGGGGTCTACGCATTTATTTTCTTCTCGTTTTTGGCTTGGCATGCCTTGGCTTGTTTGTCTACTTTATTTTAATTTGAATTTTTTACACAACCCCTTTGGTGTCGTTAGCTTTCGAAATATATAACATAACAAAGGCCCAAACTGTCATTGTCTTTCATTATGCTAATCCATTCAGTGTGATAGTAGATGCCCGCAGATAAAGCTCGTGTAATAATTATTTACAATTTGTTGTGTCTTCCGAAAAATAATATATCACTCATAAGGTATGTAGGTGGAGGAGAGGAATAAAATGCATAATGCAAGATTAAATGTGGCATAAGATTTAAATCCTAATTAATACTAAATGTAACATCCGATTTAACTAATATTGTTTTATAATGATGCATACATTTAGATTTAAATTTGAATTGAATTTTGCATAGCCCCAAATTCAATCTGGTGTTTTGCGCTGAATACAATATATCTTGAAAAAAAAAAAAACAGCAATGATCTTTTGTTATAGACTCACCAACATTAACGTCAGTCTAAATTCTAAACATTACCCAGCACTTTGGCGACGTCTTGAAATCTATGTTTCAAGTACCTTTATATGAAATATATATGAATATACGTTTAGATATATGTTTTCTAATTAAGATTGTTCTGCTATGTGGTATCTTTCTATGAGGTATCAGGGTATTAAAAAGTCGAAGATTCTTCACTAGAGCATTGTTACCTGTTTAATATGCAGCCCTGCTTATAGTCGGATCACAACTGATTCATCTCACAATTTGGCAAATAGCTAAGTTTCACCAAAATCCAATTTGTTTTTGGGAACATAACCACACGTTGATGACAGTCGAGTCTCGAATTGTTGAGGTCGCCAATCTGAATTCGACTATGTGACTTCAACAGTCGAGTGCCAAAATATTATCCCTAGAAGAACTAGCCAAACGCTTGCAAATGATGTTTCAAAAAAACTAAATTATATTTGCTAAAAATATCTACTGGCTATGATTTTCTTGCTTAAAGCTAAAACCTACGGCTTGGTGGCAAGTACGCGCTATTCGAAGGTAGCTCGGCTGCAGTAACTCCAACAACACCTGTTCCGCTCTTTGAGGCAAAATCCAAGACGGGAGACGAGGAGCCGGCATTATGATTAGTCGAGCGGCCGGGAAGCGAATCGTATTGGGCTTGGATAACACGTTGAGCATTCTCGGCATCGCTGGGAGTGCGATACTTGACGAAGTGCACCTCTGGTTTGTTGTTGGTCTGGAGCTTGATCTGGTTCAGCTTGTTGGCCAACTCACTGACATCAGCCTGTTTGTTTAGTACATAGATGGCTGTGCGATCATCTGAAGCGGAGGAAGCCAATTGTAGTGCAGCATGCTCCAGACCCGTATTCTCGGGACCCTTAATGAAGAGAACGCGCAGATTCTTCCTCAGACTATTCGCGATTTGATCGTTAACGGGACTATTGTCGAACTCCTGTTCTGGTGCACTGTACGTGTAGAACTCCTTGTTGAACTCATTGGCCTGGAGTATGGGCTCTGAAAGCTGGGCAGAACCACCATGCACAAGGCCGCCATCGGAGTTGCCGATCAATCCGCCACGCCCATCGCCAGCATGGGATTGGGGTGAATAATCATATTGGCCTCGAGCGACGGCTATTAAGCACAGCATCTGCAACATGGGTTGATTGACTGAGACGTTTCTTGCAAGGATCATATATAGACTTACCAGAAAAGCGCGCATCTTTAGTTTGGCCTAGTAGGTTTCCTTGCCAATGGGATATGAACGTGTTGGGCAGCTGTTGAGCTGTGTCTGTGTCTGCCAATTGCAAGTCAGGCCTTTATTTATATAGAGGCTCAGATGCATCCGATCCCATGTTTGGCTGTAAGACATGCAAATGCGATGCATTGAGCAACAGTACAGCATTAACTGCCCCCACATTCCAATTGAATTACCAAACGTTTTTTTAATTGGAACATATAGCTTTGAAAGAAAAATAACGACTGCATCGGCTTTAATAAGTCGGAAAATGTGTAAATGTATTCAAATTACGTCGCGGTCTTTAATTTGACCTACAGATTTGTGGGTTTGCCCAACTTGCAACCCATACGGAATGTGACATTTTGTCGGCATTGCATTTTTTCTGGATTTATCTGAGATAAAACGGTCGTCGAATTGCTTAAAGTTGTATATCAAATTTGCATAATGGGAATTTTACCAAAGTTTCCAAATATATTATATGTGATACCAGATGAGCTTACTTAAACTATTAAGCACTATTTATTTCTATTTCAGAACAATCTGCGACTCTAAATTAAGAATAGCCAGAAAATAAACAAGCCCAGATCTCTTGGATTTTAAGACTCACTTAATTTTACACTGTGCCTGCAAGTATGCAACAGTATTTGAAAGACCTTTTCTGAATTCTTTATTTTTGCACATGTGTCCATGTGTATTTTATTTTATAAATCTATAATTCTAGTAAATAGATTAATAATAATCAAATATCCAATTACTTCGTACAATTCGGGCTTTGTATATACACACATCACAAAGCTTTTGAATATAATACGCCTATGACATCATATTAAAAATGGAGCATTGAACTGGTTTTATTATATGGGCAAAGCCAACAAGAGCGAAAGCTTTATTTTCAAATCAAATATATAAAACAAAATGCTGCAATGAAATGGAAGAAAAGATGCATGATATAGCTCTGGATCCTGAGCTAATTATCATTTCAGCAACTTCACTTTTACTAATATTGCCCATATTCTATTTAAATTTACAAACGAGACAATAACCTGTTGAATGATCTCACTTTCACACAAAACGATCTCGATTTCAGCTGAACACAAAAGCACGCCAAAATGTAGATTTTTCTTCTTGTTTTTTTTTTTTTTATATAAAAATGATCTTAAAGTATCAGTGCCTTATAAACAAATAACAGTTCTCCAATCGAGTTTAGGCGACTAACTGATGGCCTACCAACAGCCGAAATTGTAGAACGAAATTTCATATTCCGCTTTCATATCAATGTGAATAAACGCATATATGCAAATAAGAAAAGATCAACAGATTCAGGGATTATATTCATACATAAGATATATGGTATACTACCAAATTTTAATCAGTGAGGGCATTGAAAAAGAGTGCGATTCGCGATCACTAGAAAAATTCAGCGCTTAATATTGTCTCATCTGCTCGTTTGGCCGACCGGCTGTGGATTATGTTAAACGAATAAAGTTTAAAAACTTGTTTCGGTATTATTTCAAGTCGTTCAAGATCAGATAGTTGCAAATTATAATTTGATTATGAATAGGATGATAATATAAAAAAAAAAAAAATTAAAATAGTATTTTATTTTGTGAGCTATAAAAACGCTTGTGAATAGGTACGCGCGTTTTAGTTTAGCTCAAAGAATCGGTGCAAAATGAAGACAGTTTGCGTAAGTCCTTCTGAATTTAATATTTCTAGAGAAATATTTTAACTTTTAACATGTTATTCAGTTTGTTGTGTTGTGTGCCCTTCTGGCTGTGGTCTGTGCTGCCCCGGCACCCGCAGCCTCTCCCGATGAGCCCACCGTATCCATTCTGCGATATAGGAACGATCAGGAACTGGAGTCTATACAGCGTGCCATAATTGCGCAATACGAGGGTCAACTTGGCGGCACCACACATATTCATTCACCACGCACCGCAAGTGTCGTCAATCCCCAGACCCTCGGCATCCACATTTAAATACCGATAAGTTTAATAAATTACAAATTGTTGTGAATATTCGGTGACAATTTACTGATAAGCTGATAAGGCGCAGCCTCAACGCGTCTCAGATCGTCAGGGCTTCAGTCGCGCCTTACCACTTCAAGTGTAAGCAACCCAAAAAGAATTTGTATATATAAATTTATATTATTTGTATTTATATTTATATTATGTGCCGCTTGCTGGTACTTTTATCGGCTGCTATGTTTTGTTTGGCTGGGAGCCAGAGATTGCCCAAGAATCAGCCAATGTTCTTTCCCAAGGAACAGGACATTGTCTTTCCCGATAACCAGCAGTATAATACATTATTCAAAATCAGTGACTTTTACTCTAATAGTAAGCTAAACACTAAGCTCGAACTTCCGATGCCGCCGCAGCGTGAACTCAATCCGACTCGCTACAGACCGGGGCAACCGTTTCCACCACCGCCTAATGGGCGACGATACAAGAAGAGGCGCAGGGGCCAGAATAGACGCCTCTGCGAGCGCAGTGAGTTCCTTTCTCAATTCTCGTCTTTAGCTTAACCCATTGACTGAGCTCTTATTACCAAGAGTACTCCGAGTACGTTGAACGAATCTTTCCCAACGATACGGCCGTCACGGAAGACGCAAATGACGAAGATTTCGATGGCCGCGTACTTGCCCGGCCTGGTGAATACCCCCATATGGTTTGTTCTCTTAAGCTGATAATAACCTATTATACACTCAGAGAAAGTATCAAGGGTTATGCTGGCAAACTTAGGATCGAATTAGTTTGTTATCTCTTTACTTAGCTCATTCATAATCTACGCTCAATTCAGTATATATTTATGCACATTAGTATAACACTTTTCTCTGAGTGTAGCTTCTCATAATCGTAAATGACCCGCATAAAACCGGAAAACTTATTTTGACAGGCGGCTGTCGGCTTCAAGACTAACTCGGAAAAAATCGACTACAAGTGTGGCGGCAGTTTGATAAGCGAGAATTTCGTCTTGACTGCGGCCCATTGCACTGAGGTGGACGGGTGAGTTGATAGTGGGGTGTACGCGATGATTCTTTGATTACATACGGTACATTTAACATTTTTGTAGGGATGAGCCGAAATGGGTTCGCATCGGTGGACTGAATCTTATGATTGATGAGGTGACGGTTGAGCCCCAGAACTTTGACATCGAGAGTATCTTCAACCATCCCGATTACCGAGTTGAATTCTATTATAATGATATAGCACTGCTTAAGCTGTCAAATAATGTAAAGTGAGTATTCATGGATTTTCGAAAATTCATATCCATTTTTTTACTGAAGCTAAACTAATGAGCTACAGCTTGATGCGGAAAGTTTTTGAAATATACGTAAAAATAGTAGGTAATAGTAGTAGGAAGACATAAGTATGTTACAAACATTTTGTAGTAATATGTAGTAGCAATTTGTCGAAGCTGTACGAAGTAGAGACGGTAACTAGCAGTAACAGATAATAATTTGTACTGTTAATTTATATAATTTATTTATTATCAAAAGTAAAAACATATTGGTAGTAGAATGTAATGGTATATTCTAGATTAGCAGATTAAAATAAACCGCATTAATGGTTTATTTCAGACTAAGTGAGTTTGTTCGCCCCATTCGACTGTGGGTGGATAAGGAGATACCTACTTCAATTGCATTTGCCATGGGCTATGGCTCGACTAGCTTTAGCAAGGCCATGACATATCGCCTGACCCATCTAAATGCGACCATAGTGCCCAACGATGAGTGCACCCGGGATCTGCCTGTGTTTGCTGAGACTCCCAATGGCATTATAGGCAGTCAGATTTGCGCGCAGGATTTCCTTCAGAATCGGGACACCTGTCAGGGAGACTCGGGCGGTCCGCTGCAGCTGAATTTGCCTGGTCGCAGACGCAGCCTTATTCATTATCATCTTATAGGAATCACCTCCTTTGGCGTATTCTGTCGCAGCAGCTACCCAAGTGTATACACCCGTGTTTATTCGTTCCTGGACTGGATCGAGGATATTACATGGGGTATGCCGCAAAACTGAGCGTCATTGAATCATAAATTATGTATCACAGATTGCAGCTGAAATAGCTCAGCAACGCAAATATGTAAAAGATATTCTAGAATATGTTCATGTATTTGTTAATATAAACTCAAAAATTACAAGAATAAATACATCATTTATTGTCTACAAAAATTGAAAAGCGCATGGAATACATAAAACACGACAATGAAAATCTACTACGTTAAGGAAATTGAGTAAACAACATTTACATTTAATACAATTATTTAATTTCAAGACATTTTTTATATATTCTGTATTTTTTTAAGGCAAAAGCGAAGGCAAATTTTTGGTCAAGTTTGCTGAGTATTTTAGCCGAGGATTTATTAGACCTCATTGTTGGCATCCAAAACCTGACGTTTGATGTCCTCATAGGAAGGCAGGGTCTAAAAAGGGGAAACGCAATTCAAAATGCATTCAGAGCTAGTAGAAGAAATTGTTTAATAATATATGATTCGTAAGCATTAGTAGGCGCTGAGATACTCACGCACAGAGTTCAATTGAGTATTTGATATCAGACATGCGAAAAGAGGATTATGCAAAGCAGGCGATTGTTATGTTTTAATGTGAAGAGCAACGGATTGAGTTCATTACAGTTTTACCAACCTGCCAGTAGTTGTCGTCCCAAGAGGGGAACATGCGCTTGAAGACGCGGGGCTCCTGACTCTGGGTTACCCGAATAATGCTAACAGTGTCTACGGTGCGGGCGGTGGGCTCCAAGCTAATATATCGCTATAATCGAATGGATAAAGTGGGTCATTAAGGAAGTTTTACAAAGATTGCATTAACCGGCGACCTGACTTTGGCAGTGTTGAGAACTATATTACCTTGGCCATGTCCAGTATCCTGTCATTCTCTTCGGCTGTGGCACCGGAGCCGACCCACATATAGATCTCATCGCCAGCATCCAACAGCATGACATCATCCGTGTCGAGATCCTCCTGCTGGTAGTCGGCGACCTCCTCGACTTTAGCACGCCCAGCGCGTGTCAGGCGGCAGTGGAATAGGCGTGCCTCGAGCAGTGGTGGCGTTTGATCGTCCAGGCTACGGTCGTACTGACCCTCACCGTTCAAGTCTTCCCAGAAGTCGTCGGGCTCAGCTCCCTCCTCGATTACCTCCAGCTGCGCATCCTTCCAGTAGTTCTCAAAGCGTGTCGTTGCCGCCTCCTTTTCAAAGGCAGAGGCACCAAGCCCTTGCCAAATGAACACCTTGTGCGTCTTGGTGGAAGCTAGGGCAAACGCATCTCCAGAAGCCAACGAAGAGCTATCAGCAGGCACTTCGCTTGCATGGATATCACTCTCGACTGTGCCGCGAATGCGGAACAGCTGCGCAGACACAGGCAATGCCGTGTAGGAAGTCAACAGCTTGCCCTTGAAGATCTTGTAGAAGTGGCGAGGCTCATGGCCCTGTGTGGTGCGCACTAACAAAGCATTCTGTTCGACGGCCAAGGCCATGCCATCCTCGAAGGCACGCTCCTTAACAGCTGCATTAGCGTTGGCGCCCTGCCAGACATAAACAATGACGCCCTTGTCACCATTGTTGGCCTCATAGTTGTAAGTAAGCACATAGGAGCCAAAACCCAGCAGCGGCAGCTCCTCCTCGAAGGGCACATGGTTGCGTAGCACCTCGTTGCTGCCCGCCTTGGACACATACTGGGTAATATCCTTGATGCTGTTCTGGCCATGATCGGGCATGAAGCCGATGGCGCGACCACCACTTTTCTTTAACTTCTGCACGACAGCATCGATCTCATCCACATCGAGAGACTCATCCGAGCCGATGTCTAAGGCGGAGCGTACCAGACGGGTATGAGACATACCCACATCGCGCCAGGTGTCGAAGTATTGCTTGAATGGAGCCGACTCGGCGCCTTCGACAATGCGATGAATCTGGGTCCAAGCTGGGTATTTTTTGGTGCGCAGGAACTCTTGTGCCTTAGCCATAGCGTCGGACTTTTCTTTGGGAGTAGCGCCGCGTCCCACCCACACAAAAATGCCGGAGCCAGTGTCCAATATGAAGCAATCACGCGTATCCAGCATGGCTTGACGTAGGGGCTTCTGAGCAATGGTATCCACCTGGAGGTTGCCACTGGCATCGGACACCTTGTAAAGTGTTACGGCGGCAGCATCTGTGCGCTCGAAAGCACCATCCTCATCAGCGGACGACTCCTCGGGCACCTGGTCGGCTGAGCCAGAGCCTAACACGTCGAAGAACTGCTGCTTATCCATTTCTGTGCTGAATTCATCGATGATCTGCACGCGGGCACGTCCATTGTGATCCTGATCCCTAATTTGGTTAGCTGCGCTAATAGCTTTAAGCTTTTCCACGCGCTTGGCTTGGGCACCCACGTAGACATAGATGTCATTGCCAGCATCCAGAATGAAGCAATCACCCTTGTTCATCGAGGAGACGGAGAGATTTACCTGGCGCACGCGCACATTGCGCTTGCCCTTCACCTGGAACAGGCGCTTCTCCCCCTGGGCATTTGTCTGCACGTGCTTGAATCCGGTGCCCACACCGCCCTGTTCATACCGCACACCTGAACAATGGAACAGACTTGCTCATAAAACTATCTTGACAATCCACACAGCATTTACCGTTCTTGAAGTAGCTGAGAAACAGCTGTGACTCATGATCCTGCACCTCACGATGCTGGACGGGACCTCCATTGAGGATATCGTCTAATTGCACTGTCAGAATAGCCGCAGCTCCAGCCTCATCGGTGGATGTCTCCGAGCCCAGCCAAAAGTGCACATCCCATGTGAGTTGCTTGTCCTTCGGGTTCTGCTTAGTCTACGAATTGAAGGGAAGTAAGTAGAGAATTAATATTATTATTTATCTATAAAAAAATATATCTTATATTTTACTTTGTAAGTTCACAAAGGGCTTATTGCTCGACTAGGAAATACCCTGAACCCTCCAATCTGATATTCTAATCATTCTGCACTTCTTTTGAGCACTCATACATACATATGCATCCATACTCACACATAAGCTCGCGCTCTGCTAACTGGGCAGTAAGCAGCGACTGCGCTTGGGCTGCGCTGCAGTGAGGGCAATGTTATGAAAATTTATTTATTAAATAATTTAATTTCTAGACGTACGATCTTAATAAAACTTTCGTCGTGCTGATCAAGAATATATGTATATACTTTATGGGGTCTGCGATGATTCCTTCTGCCCGCTACATACTTTTACACAACCATTATGCCCTGATTTCCCATTTTCAATGGGTTCAGGGTATAAAAAGGCGAAAATAATTCATTATAGATCATTATATCAACAAATCTTTAAATTGAGTAAAATCTTTTAGTAATTCGCATTCAGCATAAGAGATATAATAACCATTTATAATTATTTTTAATTTTTAAAATTCATATAAAATTTTAAATGTGATTTAATATTACTTAACTTATTAAATTTATTATCATTTATCACACACATTTATTATTGTTGCAGTATTATTATTCTTTGTATTATTCTATTTTACTTACATTCAGAATGATGAAGGAATCTCCAGTGTAAAATTTGCCATAGTTGTTTGGGGGATACGGCACAGGCTCGAAATTCTAAAACACCAAAATTGGACAGACATGAGTATACATAAAAGTATGTACATATATATGTATATATGTTAATGTTCTATTTCGGGAGCCGAAACAGTAAAAATAATTATTTGAAAAAAAAAAGTGAAATCGATTCTCTATAAACAAAGGCAAAATTATCCAAAAAACAACATAAAGGCAAGCTGTTACCATTTGCCGGCAGGAGCTAATAAATTATGCTGTTTCTGAGTTAATTAACACACACTGGTCGTATTGACAGCACAGACACATACTAGTGAAGCTTTGCTAGCCAAACATGTGTTCCTCATATTGCGTGCCTTCAGCGAATAGAAACCAGCATCAGACACCAGTCTACAATTCCTTTAATGCAAACACGTGTGTATATATGTATGTATGTATGTGTGTGCGGACTATAAGTAAGTGTGTGTGTGCAAGTGTACTATCACTTTGCATGCCAACGGCAACAGCTGCCGCTGAGGCGCCGCTCGCTGAGCAACGCATTCGTGCGTGGGTGTCGAACTTTCCCCCAAACGATGTAAACATGCAGCGGCAGCAACTATTTATATACACTTCCCTCATAGATGCAGTGTATAAAAGTAAAATTGCAAGCGTATTCCAAGACATCTACATATATAGAAACCTATATATGCCAAGACTGTCGATACTAAAAGTGTAAGTACATTTAAATACAGAATATTTCCTCATCTGAATTTTTCCTGTTTTCATAGATTCGGTCGTTGCAACTACTATTACTTACTTCAATGCGCCATATCTCCAGGCCAGGTGCGCGACCGGCATTGGCGAAAGCTGGATGCATGATGCGTCTGGCTGGTTGCTTGTTGGTGCTACTAGAGGGTTGAACGTCAGCAGTTGAGACAGGGAATGCGGGTCGAGTGTTGAATGTGCCCGCTGAGCAGAATCTTGTAGAAATGGCGATGAATACGACCAAACTGCTGGAATTGGAAATAATTAAGTTTTTGCTTGAAAGCAATCATCCAACTAAACGCCTTTTACAGGCAACAAGTCGACCTATCTAGCTGTGCCAGACCATCACGGGTTTCAATGTCAATGACTCATAACCATAAAAGGTCGTTCAGACACATAGAGCCTCATTTGTCATTTAATGTACTGTACTCGAAAAACTGGCCTAGCTTATAGTTGATATATATACATATGTAAGTCTGAGAGCATGAACAGTTGATATTCTTTTGATGAACACGCACACCGCCTGTGAGTAATACATTATTTGCACTATTTATTTACCTAAAAAGGTAATCTATCAGAGCTGAATAATAAAGCTAATAATATTAAATCAGTCAAAAAAAAAAAAAAAAAAAAAAAAAAAATCAGTCGTTAAGACTTCGATTTTATGAGTCTATTTTAAAACCAATAAACTCTAAGATTTTCAGCATATTCTAGATCAGAATTTCAGTCTGATAAACATGTGAAAAATCTGATTAAAACTTACAATTTTGTATATATATATATATATATATATATATATATATATATATATATAATCACGTTATTTATAAGCTCGCGCCGTATGTGTAATATTTTCTCTGTTTAGTTAACTTTTTTCACACTGCTCTACTCTATTAAAAACTGGGAGCTTATTAGCTAGCGAACCACTCGCTTGCATTACCTGCAGATGACTGCCAGATGACGGGCGGCGTTTCGCTTTGCCATTTCGTGGCGGCGTCGGCTTCTGGGGCGATGGAGGAAGCGACAGGGGATGAGGCCACTCGCTGAGCGCCTTTGTTTATTGTTGCTTGAGATATATAAATATGTATATGCGCTTGTGTGTAGCCGTTTGTGTCGGTCGAATTGTTGCTATTATTATGTAGTATTCGCCTTTGTTTTTATCTTTCCCAACTCAAACACAGATGATTGCCCGCTGGCTGAGAGATAAAAGAGAGAATGACCTGTGAATGAGAAAGAGAGAGCAACAGGTTATTAAATCATTGATAAAAAACATTAGACATCAACATTACAAAGCACTTGATATAAAACGCACTCTACTACAGTTCAAGATATATGCATGTATGTGTATATCAATTGATCTATATAACTGGAATAAGTTACAATATTTATATATTTATATATTTACTCTTATTATATTATTCAGTTCTTATTATATTATTCAATATATACCAGAGCATTGATAATAGCATATACAATATATAATATATATGAAAATAATACAAATATTAATAATTTCCATTAAACATGTGACAAATAGGCAAGTATGGCAATATATTAAAAATATATGCTGCTGAAATAAGAACCGGTTCAGGATTCCCACAGACTTCCTTTATCGTAAACTTGATTTCATTTTTAAAGCTTTAAGCAAGCTTAAACATTTTCTGGTCCTCAGATAACAACATATAGTTTTTAGTTTTAATATCACTCACTGAAGCTGCCAATTAAAACGCGTCACGCACGCTTTTTTTTTTTATTTTATAATTTTTATTTTAAGTAATTAGGTTTTTAACATGGCGACATGTGGGACTCGAATGATATCACTATTAAAGAAATAGCACCATCGACAAGCCCTTTTCTCGTTTCTCAACTGGGTCACGAGCATTATAAACATTATACATATTTATTTATATGCATTTATGATATATGGTAAGCGACAATGCTCACATTGTTTATTTGCCTTATTCAAGTATTTTCTGTCATTTTCAAGTTGGACCTGTTATTGGGCTATCTGTGTACATATATACATATATTGTAGTATATATAAATGCGACGTGTTTTGAATTTCAACTATCTCATAATATACATTCCAAATGTTGTAGCACAAGCATACGTCATCTTCCTTCACAATTGTTAACTACAATGGATAGAAAAGCAGCACAAAAGGAATTGACCAATTCATGTTTAACAACTCATTAGCAAATTGTAATTCAAAACTCGTTAACTCATAAATCAATATATACTCATAAATACTATTTACTTTAATACATATGCCTTTTAAAAGAGACAAGAAGTATGGCGCTTTAATGCCATTTTAAATGTGATAAATATTAACAATAATTGGTAAATAATATTACTTCCTCTCATTTGTGTACATAAAATTACACATAGAATATATAATGTGTCTTAATGGTTATAAGGCTCGTAGTTCTTGAAAAAAAAATTTAAATGCAGCCCTTTGCAATGAGCCAAATTTAACAGAATCTACAAAATTTCAATTACATATTTTACAAACTGAAAATTACTTTTCATTTATACTATACAAAATTAATTTAATTATACTTTTTGGTCTTGTTTTGTTTTTCCCTAAAAAAAATTAAGTTATACATACATATGTACAGACGTACTTTCAAGTCTAGCAATTACGCGTCTGGAAACCTTAGCCCAAGATAAGCTAAGCTCACAGAAATTGACAAGCCTAATCAGTAGAACATATAATATAATGATACACTCTATACGTATGTACATACATACATATGTATATACACATAGTACTGTAGAGCCTAAGACAATTTACAATTGAGCAATGATTCGATTTTGCGAGGCACAGGCAAAGGTTATCATTTGGTGTTTCATGCTTATAGGTCATTCATTTGAAGTGTATCATATACATACAATATTAAATGATATTGTTTCTAATTTTGCATATTTATCTAAAACTCACACAATTTATGCATATCAGCTGATCTATTGACGCTATCAATACAGCCAAACACACACACAAACACACTAAGCGAATAAATCACTTACGCTTCTCTGTCAACAAGATGAACTGAAAGCTTCCAGGCTTTGGAAGCAACTGAACAAACTCGCGGCACTAGTATGTAGTGATCGAAGCAACGCAGCTTGAGACACTGAACGAAACTGAACGATTGTCGTTGACTTATAAAAGGCCGCTCGAAAGCAAAGCGAGATCAAGCAGTCACCGTTTTGATAAGACTGACGAGCAGATAGTACGAGAGGGATCAGAAAAAGTACAATTCGTAAAACATAACTGTAAACAATTGAAAAACACAATTCAAGCTTTATTAGAAACCGGGTTAGAGATCACAGAGAATACCCAGCTTTTGATTCTGCGAACCCAAGTCCAACTAATCTTTTGTACACTGTTTAACTGACAATAGATTTTCATATGCAAAAAGCATTGCATTTGCTTTTAAAAATTTACCAAATTTGTACAATACCGTCACTATTTTAAAAGTTTAATTAATTTGTTGATCTAAGTAAGCTCATGAATTTTTCTTATTTTATAAAATAGTGTCAATATGTATTCTTAAAATATTTCTGTAGGATTGTTATCTTATTATTTAGATGCTAATGTTTACTTTTTAGTAATCGGCAGCCGTATTGGACAAATAGTCGCGTCTTCCAATATTCGAGGCCTGTTTGCTTTGCACTGCCTCCAATTTGGGGCATTCGGTTATCCGATGGCCAAGACCACCGCAATAGCTGCAGCCATGCGAGTCGCCCAGATCCAAATGCTGATGCTCCGCCTCAGGCGCCAGTTCGTCAAGAAAGTCGGGTACCTCCTGCTTGGCTTCCAGGAGAAGGTGCTTTAAATCCAGTAGTACAGATTGCTCAGTTATCTTGTTGATCAGTGTAGTCGCTAATCCCTTGGTATTAGAGCGACCTGTTCGACCAATGCGATGCACATAGTTCTCGATATCGTCGGGCATATCGTAATTGATCACATGCTGAACATTGGGAAAATCTAGGCCTTTGGAGGCCACGTCTGTGGCAACAAGAACATCTTTTTTGCCCACCCGATATGCGTCGACCGCACGTGAACGCTCCTCCTGATCCTTGCCGCCGTGTATGGCCACAGCCTCGACGCCCTTAAGCAGTAGATATTCGTGTATAGTGTCCACGTCTTGTTTCTTCTCGGCAAAGATAAGCACTGGAGGAGCCGTCTTTTGCAGGCACTCCAGTAGGTAGACCACTTTGGCTTCCTGCTTCACATACTCTACTTGCTGCGTGACATTCATGGAGGCGGCACCGGCACGTCCTACGTTGATTGTCACTGGTTTGACAAGTGCAGAACGCGCAAAGTTTTGAATCTTCTTGGGCATTGTGGCAGAGAAGAGCAGCGTCTGCCGCTGACCCTTAAAGAACGAGAATATAGTACGCACATCTTCCTCGAAGCCCATATCAATCATGCGATCCGCCTCGTCCATGCACAGATACCGACACATGTCCAAAGTAAGTATCTTCTTGTCCAGCATGTCCATGAGTCGCCCAGGAGTGGCCACCACAATGTGCACTCCACGCGATATCACATCTAGCGCCTCAGACACTGGCAGTCCGCCCATTGCCAGGCAGGAGCGAATCTCAGGCATACCGCACAGCTGCAGATGCTTACTGTAATGTTGAATGATTTCGTGCGTCTGTTTGGCCAGTTCACGAGACGGACATATGATGAGCCCGTACGGACCCTCGTTGCGTTCGAAGGGCAGACGGAATTCCTGTTCCAGAGCAAACATTACAATCGGCAACACAAATACCAGCGTTTTGCCAGAGCCCGTGAAGGCAATGCCGATCAAATCGCGGCCAGCAAGTACAGTTGGCAGGCCCTGCACTTGTATGGGCGTTGGCTTTTTAATTCCCTTGGCAGCCAGACCATTGAGAATGCCCTTGTGAAACTTCATCTCACGAAAGCTGCGAATGGGAGGGCTAACATTCTCGCCTTCAACCAAGATTCTCAGCTGCTTACGTATAGCCTGCCGCTCCGACTCGGGCATGGCCTCTATATAGCGCGGTGGCCGCCATGATGTCTTAATCGGTTCGTCATACTGTATACCTTTAGCCAATTCCGCTACACCCATCAGTGCCTTCTGCTGCGCAATGCTCTCCATTATCTTTTCCTCCTCACGAAGCTGTTTTTCCACGGCGCTCAACTTTTTGGCTTCCGCAATTTTTTTAAGCTCTGTATGTTGGTCCAGCAAACTGATGTTGTATTTGCGACCCCAAGTCTCTGCCTCTTGGGCACCTTGTGCATCATCTTCGTTTTCATTTTCGCTAGAAGATTTCGGCTGTGTTGTTTCTGTGGCCAGTTGAACAATGCGCCCTAGTTTCATCAAATGTTGCTTTTTCCGTTCTTTAACTGGAACGTAGGGCACATAATTGTCTTCCTTCTCTTCTTCATCAGACGATTTGGAGCTACGCCTGTAACGTTTAATAGGTGTACTCATATTTACTCAACTACATGAACGGAACCTTTAGAATTGTTTTTTGTGTTGCTCTGAATCCAAACGTTTTCGACAACAGGGTGCTGCCATATGCGTCGAATCGATAAGCCCAACATTTTTATATCGGCAATTCGGCAGCACCACTATTCTTTTAATTTTTGCGCTGCCAGACTGTCTATTTATATAACGACTAACACATTGAATATACATATATCTGCGGAACAATGAGTTCTGTTAATATTTTATTCAGTTGACACAATTTTTAAATAGAGCATCTTACGTTTTGGAGGTACTACATTCAACATAACTACAGTGTGTACTGTAAAAATAAAAGTTTTACCGAGCTCTCAGCGAGCGCTACCGCTGACTAAGTCGATATATATCGAGCAATCATTGCAAATTATCGAAGAAATAATATATTTCTTCTTAGACGTCAACTCGAACTCGCCGAAAACTGAGCAGTGTGATTTTGTTTAGTAATTGACTAAATATTAACTTTCGTCGTCATCATGTCTATGTCAAAGACGACAAACACATATAATCGGCAGAATTGGGAGGACGCCGAGTTCCCAATCCTCTGCCAGACATGCCTGGGTGATAATCCGTACGTGCGCATGATCAAGGAACGCTTCGGCAAGGAATGCAAAATATGCACACGTCCTTTTACCATATTCCGTTGGTGCCCGGGTGCGCGAATGCGCTTTAAGAAGACTGAGGTCTGTCAAACGTGTGCCCGGTTGAAGAACGTTTGCCAGACGTGTCTCCTGGATTTGGAGTATGGTCTGCCCATCCAGGTGCGCGACGCAGCACTGAAAGTGGCAGACAATATGCCACAGAGTGATGTCAATAAAGAGTACTACATACAGAACATTGATGCCCAGCTCCAGGATGGAGATGGCACTGAAGCCGCTGGTACCGTGGGACGCTCACTTGCTGCAAACGAAATGCTGTCGAAACTGGCACGTACAGCGCCTTATTATAAAAGGAATAGGCCTCACATCTGCTCTTTCTGGGTGAAGGGCGAATGCAAACGTGGCGAGGAGTGTCCCTATCGGCATGACAAACCCAACGAGCCGGACGATCCACTATGCGAGCAGAACATTAAAGACCGATACTATGGACGCAACGATCCCGTTGCCGAGAAGATAATGAAGCGTGCCGCTTCATTACCTACGTTGGAGCCGCCGGAAGATCGCAATATAACAACATTGTATGTTGGAAATTTACCTGAAGAAATCACTGAGCCCGAAATACGTGATCAATTCTATCAGTATGGAGAAATACGTTCCATTGCGCTTGTGCCGCGTCAGCAGTGCTCTTTTGTCCAATACACCAAACGCAGTGCCGCCGAGTTAGCTGCCGAGCGCACCTTCAATAAATTGGTAATTCAGGGACGCAAGGTTAGCATAAAGTGGGCCCATTCTCAGGCCAAGCAGGGCACCGCCGCCAAGACAGATCGCCGTTTCGATGTTGCAGGCATACCACCGCCGAGTGCTAAGCCAAACGACTACTTCAATCTACGCCAGGAACAAATAAACGTCATGCCCGCAGGCTTGAAGCTCCATCAGCTGCCCTCCAATCTGGTCCCGGCCTCTGCCTACCAGATGTACGCCCAACCTACTTTTGCAGCGCCCTACAATGGACTTCCAAGCAGCAGTACCAGTGGAGCTGCTTCGGCCCCAAATAGCACAACCACAAGTACCTCTGGTGTGAATCTCGATTCGATTCCTCCACCGCCTGGACAAATGCCGTATCCCAGCCAGGATGCTAGTCGCATGGGCGCCATAAAGAAATAATATTCATCTTATACCAATATAACATATAGCTAGTGCTACTTCTATAAAAAAAATAAAAATAAATGGACGTCTTGAATAAAAACGTTTATATAATCTTCCTATCTTTGAGATCGATCATGAGTTCTAATTGTCTATGAACGAAATCTGTCATATCCCTTATAGAAACATTCAACTGCAAACATGACATAGATTTATAAATGCTTTCAAAATTACGCTTTATGCCTATTGTTAGCTTAATCACAGATATAAAATACTTCATTTTTATTGAATTAGTTAATATCCGGCGTAATTACGGAACGTTTCCTCTGTATTAGACGCTGGGCACGCTGCGACTTTTGCCGCTCAATGAAATGAACCCGAAGTGCAGTAAAGTCGATGCCGCTCCTGTACTCCAAAGAGTTGCGCTCATCACTGCAAGTAAAATCGTTATTTGGTATATATATACCCATTTTGTTTAGGGTATCTCACATGGGCGCTCGACTCCAATAGTTGGGTACACATTGCAGGCGATTACGGAGAGTTTCAAAAGCCACAGTTTGTGGCAGCAACATAAGTATTCCAAAGAGCGCATGTGCCAAATATTGAGCATCAGCACAATTATTCGATTTAGAAACAAGTGTTAGGCGCAAGGCAGCAAAAATTGGAGATTCAATGAGCTGAACCAGCTTGTCCAATTCGCAGAGCAGCTCCACCGTAATCTCAACATCCGAGCTGAAAAACAAGGCATTACATAATACAAAGGGAAAATTATGAGATTGTCACTTACAATAGAATAACCAGCTCGGAGACATGCTGATAACACTGAGCGATCAAACAAAGCGACAACGTGGACACTGGACAGCAGACCCAGCTTTTGTAAAGGCATTGGAAGAGATCTGCTGATTTCGGATCCGAAATTTCTCGCAAGCTAGTGCGTAACTCAAAAAGTTCCGTTGAGGTCAACAATATATTGTTTAAAAGTCGCACAAGCGTAGAGGAAAACTTCAGATTAAGCACTCCATCTGCAATGATCTCGGCAAGTGTGCGATAGATATACTCGGCATTCAGTAGAACACACAGGTTTCTAAAAAGAGTTAGTTTAAATATACACAAACAACCTCGACAACACTAGTAATATATGTAATTTTACCTTATAATAAGGCTGGCTCGGTTTTCCAATATCAGTTTGTCCTCGGTGAACAGATTCAGTAGGCTCAGCAAAAATTTACGGTAATGTGGTTTATTAAAATCATCTAGATCTAAATAATTACCACAGAAATTATTAAATTGCTAAGTAAGTCAAGCACTGAGACACCCACCCTTTGTATCCTGCGAGTTGATTATCTCAGCTAGCACACATAAGCTTTGCAGAACCACCTCATCCGAGTTGTCAGATAGCGTGGCCAAAAGATTGTTGTTCAGATTGCTGTCATGCAGCGCCATTTCGTTGGGAAAATTTAAAAAGAGATGATGTATCCATTTAAGTACTGCAATCTTTGTGTGCATTGAGTTGTGCGTGAGGTATTGCGAGAGCACTTCCATAATCGAACGTAAATCAATTTTGGCCACATTTTGAGTTTTAAACTCTTTTGAAGATACCAGCTGCATCATTGAGTTGTTCACAGAGACGGCGCACTCCTTGATGTCTGAATTAAAATATTTCATTACTTACATAGAGACATAATGGCTGCTTGAATTCACTCACTGCGCTTGGACTCCACATTGTATTCAAGGCATGGCAAAATAGCTGTGAAAATGCCACTCGCATAGGGCAACACGTTTGGGCCAAATATTTGTACGAATTCTCTTATCCATGATATGGCAATGGACTTAATTAATTCGTTCAGCGATTGTGCGTGTGTTATCAACGTGTTGATGGTATCCTCCATGCGCACTGACGAGGAATCATTGCGTATAGACTTTAAGAACTGACTAATCGTGTTCTCGCACATGGGCTGTATCTCCGGCGTATTATCCTCTAGCATGACGAAGAGACCATCCAGTATTTCAGTTAAATAGTTAACCATATTAATATCGGGTACAGCATTCAGAATTGAGATCCACGAAATGACATATTGACGTGCAAACGGATTGTTGACATACATGCGCTCCCTAAGCAGCGGAATGAAGGCTTCTAAATTAAAGGTCTCATATGATTCAGTAACAATGTCCTGCAGGAATACATCAGTAAATATCTCTTTCTAATCGTAATTTTGTAATACATGTAATGGTTTCAATAAAACCTTTAGCAAGCGATCCAACAGTTCACTGCCGTCCTTCACCATTTGATCGGAGTCGGTAACCAAACGCGATAGAGCAGCGAATAATTCTGGAAAGTACGGTATAATGGCTGCACGGGCTACTTTAACCACATTGTATAGGGACTCACAGGCAAAGTAACGTACGCGCAAGTCTGGATCGGACAGACAGTTCATTATGGGTGTCACCAGCTCGCTCACGTATTTATCCGAATCCTTAGCAAAAGATAACGATAAAGATAAAGATGCGATAAAGTCATGCGATTTTTTATAAGTGAGAGTGGTAGCAATAGATATATAGATATCTCCCGGTTACAAATCAAACCAGAAATTCGTCATATCATCTCTAAAGGCATATTCATGACTAATACTTATTAACTTTTTACCTTGCCTAGCCCTAAACCCGTTGCAGCCAACCCAATCAGAGCTCCTTTACGGCGATTGGCATCGCGTGATGTGGCATAATCGTTTGAGAGCACTTCGATCAACTTTCGTATTTGTGTTGCATTATTCTTATTATTAAACTCAGTGACCATTCTGTTGAATTATGAATGATTAGTATGTTTGTTGCAGCTGCAAAGAGGGCGTTTTCTTTGTAATATTTACTTTTCAATTTCTTGGGAGGCCACTTTCCGCTTGTCGTAGACTTTGTCGCCCAGCGCTTTAGCGCAGGACTCACTTAAAGGTGCATACGGTGGCTCCATTGTATTTGTATGTTAAAAAAAATATGTATACAAATGTATTTAAAGCTTAATTGGTTTTTTCGCGGTGTTGCCACTGTTATGCCCAGCCGCTTGATTAGTGCTGCCACTATGTCTCGCACAGCTGTTTGGCGAAGATGCCACTAAGCAATCAATCGTGGGCAATTGGTAAATACTAAATGATCATAGAATAGACAGTATTGACCAAAAAACATGGTCATTGCCATAAACAGGATGTAGGCCTAGTTCACAAAAAGTGCTCGTAATTAACGGGATAACTGGAATTCAATAAAAACTTGTATATATTGCCATTCTGCTATATATATACATATATATCTAATCTTTACATTTGCGTTACATTTGTAAACTGAAACCAATTCAAAATATAAAATTACAGTTATGTTTGTGAGAGTTAACTTTAAGTTAAGCTTTATGTAAAGGATTGTAAAAGGTAACATAAAAGGGAAAACAAGTTAACTTTACGCCTGCGCTGTGATCCCAACTATTCTATGATCAGTGGAAACTTTTCCACCTCTGAACACTCTTGATTGAAGCTCGTGATAAACTGCTGCAACTTGGCCTCATGTTCTGCATCTCTGCGCGTTCGCTTTTGAGGTGGCATTGCCCTTTTGGGCAATTCGTCACTATTGTTCTTGGAGCTGTGCTCGTTGGCCTCATCCTCATTTTCCGACGAATCTGAGTCGACGAAAAGAACACGCACACGCTGCTTTCGCTTCCGCTTCGGTTTCTCCACCACGTAAGTCCGACGTGGTTTCTGCAGAGATTTAAATGGATTTGATTAGTTTGTCTCTTAGATTGAACTATTTTTAATGCTTAAATAAATTTTGTACGAGCTGCTTACTACCGCTTGAAGATGAACTTAAATCTTAGCGGCCCTGTTGGCTCAATCAAAATAAATAACCATTTCGATTTTGATTTAATATAGCGCAGCAACAGCAAAGATACTTCAGACTAAAAAGCGTCTCGTGTTTGTCAAGCGCAGAATAGATTGCAACATTTTAACGCTCACCTTTTCATCAAAAGTTGTCTCTGGCTCGAAATCCTTAAATAACGCCAGCGATTCATTCGTGGGTTCCTTAGCAATCATTGTTGAGCAGAGCATATCTTTAATGTTACGCTGCCGGGGCTCCCGTGCGTTCAAATCATCGTAAGCATGTCGCATAGGGGCTTGCGATACCTGTGGTAGTTCCTGCTGTGCAGGTCGCAGCTTCTTCAACCGCTGCAACTTTTCGTGTAGTGTTGTGTCGGCGCAACTTTTCGTCACGATTTGGTTAGGATCCCGGTCGCAGACTTCATCTTCTTCACTGAGAAAATCCTCAAAGCCAAACAGGTCACAACGTTGCCGCTGCTGTTGCTGATTATCCCGTGCACACTGATGTCCTGGACTATTGACTTCCTGTAGCTCATTCCGGCTCATGGACTTTTCTATGGGGTTCTTGCTTGTTTCTTGTCCTGGACAATTGCTATTAAATTCTTGCCGCTGATTGCTACTCAGCAATTCTTTTATGGGGGTCCTGTTTGTTTGTTGAACATTTTTCTTCCATGATGGCAGGACAACTACATCTAATATATTGATGTCCTTCAAAGGACTACGATACTGAAGTGCTCGTCGCGGATTAGGTAATTGCACAAGATTCTCCACATTTTCGATATCTTGATCATCAATTGTCAATGATTGCGGCCCAGTGGATGTCTCTTCTACTTCTGCTGGTGGCGGAACATTTTCCCCATTTGAATCGTTACCAACGGCGCTGATATCCTGTTCAATAGAAGCAGAGCACTCAGGATCACCGGGTAAATAGACATGCCGTTTGCGTATAAAATCACTCGAGTACGAGGGTAATTGTGATGTGTTTAGGCCAAACTCAAAGGTATTAGGCAGAGGAGTCTCGTCAGGCACTCGCCAAGGAGAACTGACGCCACTAGGAGTAGCCGTTGCAGTTAGCGGCGACATTTGTCTTGTGCCTGAATTCCCCAGCACAGGAGACAATATAGTTGAGTTTGCATCTAGAGCTGTATGGCTCCTGCCATTGAGCGGTGTGCTAACACATTTCTTGGCCATTTGCAGCAGTTCAAGGCGCCTTTCCGTAAATTGCTGTGCCTTAGTTTGATTGAGCATGAGAGACCGCGCTAATGGACTGTAGGCGCCCTCTACAACTGTTTTATGAGCCACTGCAGTGGTTGGTAACAGCTGGACGGGTTTATCTACTTGCTCAGGTACAATATCTACTCTTACATTGTTTTGCTCCTCACAGATGGGTGAAAGGTGTGGTTGCTCCGTCTCCTGAGCAATGATTGGCTCCTTTCCATCCACGTTGCGAATGGAGCACTGCTTTCGCTTGCCCACTGGACGCACTTTTTTACGTACAGCGCGTGCGCGCGTTTTCCCCGTTTTTGAGCGAGTCATCGCGCAGGCTCGACCGTTTTCAATCATATTTTTTATTATATCCGCCGCCGGATCGGGTTTTTCATCGTCTTCGATTTGGGACTGTGAAAGAAAGTCATAGACCTGCCTTGTGACCGAAGAACGGGTTCTGGTTGGCGGCTGATCGCGATGAAAAAATCGCGGCACACGTTGCGGCATGATCAACTTCTTCTGCTCGTTCTGACACGTTTCCTGAACATTTGCGTCGCGTATGATACGCTCTCGACGTGTTACGGTGACGTTACCTTAAACGTTCTGAATGGTTAACTGATCATTAGGCATTTCGTTAATTGCTTACCTTGATGCTGCGGACAATTCCCCGCCGGCTTTTCATCCAGACGCTTCCTGCCAATATCTTCGAATCGAGCAGGTGGTTGGTTCTCTAACTGCTTCTTAGCAATATCCTGAACGGTGGAACAGCGACGTATTCGTACGCGACAAGGTTTTATCGAATAATCTAAGGTATTATGTATGATTAGATAAATATGGTTCTTTTACATATACGTTTACCTGAGTGCTATCTGCATATGCTCTTAAATTTTGTGAGCCTTTAACTGATTATTGTACGTACGCAATTTGCTTACCTTCGTGCAGAGTGAAATTCTTCACCGACTTGTCGTCCCGGTGTTTCTTGCCTGCATCTGCGAACTGATCGGATTGTGATTTTTCTAGCTGCTTATTGGCGAAGCGAAGGATGCGTACTCGACAAGGTTTTATTGGGAAATCTAAAATATTGTAAACGATTAGATACATATGGTACGTTTACTTTATAGTTTACCTGAGTGCTGTGTGGACTGGGATTTGCTCAAACTCTTTGCCTGCGTTTTGTCCGTAGCTTTCAGTTTGACGTTTCGCCTGTCAGCATTCTCGGACGCCTTTCCCATACCCTGAAAACCACCTGTAGTAATACAGTTACAGCGTCGTAATAATATGAATAATGCGCATTTCTTTGCTTGCCTGGTTGTAATGAATAAATCCTTGCATGCGCATCGTCCCGGTTTTCGGTGTCCCCATATTTTAATTGCGCAGCAGTTAATATCTTATTTACATCGTATGTTGTAGGATCCGTTGCTTGTAGCTTAAGTCGTTTAATTCGCACAATACATTTGCGTACTCGGACCAAGTTATTGCCTTTTAAAACTTCATTACTGGGCGTTATTGTTGCCCTTTCTAAAAAATCTTTCTTGCTTAAATTTGTTAAAGATTTCCGGGTATTTGTTGATATATTTTTTTTGTTTCCAGCACGCACTGTTTGTGCTTTTATTTTAGTTGATTTCACCATTTTGGCTGAAACATGTTTTACTTTATCAAATCAAGCGCAATTTATGTTCATATGTATTTATGCAGAACTAAATGCTTTCCCGCCATTTTTGTTACTCTGTTGTTACACAGAGCTGCAGCTGTTAGTTAATCGTTGGACATGTTATCGATAAGCATAGATAAGTTTCGCAGCAGCAGCTGATAGATGATGTGACGATAAATATAAAAAGGGGACAAAATTTCGACGTTTAATTAATATGTAACACAACAGCTACGCTACGACGTTTGATTAAAATTCCAAATTTCCAAATTGTGGTGTGTTTGTGTGCTGGCAAATAAGCAGACTGTGCATTCAGCCACAGTCCAGCAAGGGCAAGTGCAACCAAATTTGTTGTTTTGTTCCAATCGAAGAAACTAAAAAAGCCCCAGCGAGTGAAAGTTTTCTCGTCTTTGTTTTGTAACTGTAATTGTTTTTTTTGTGTTTTTTTTAGCTGCCATTTTTGAGTCAATATTCACACGGTATGAGAGCTACTCGTGGTTGACATCAGTTTTGCTCACTTATTGTCTATTTTGTTATACATATATACATCTGTATATAAATATATATGTATATGTATGTATATACAAAAATCGCGTCGTACCCCCTGAATTGGCCTTGTATTATTTGCACCAGGTACCATCAAAAAGGCAGAGGAAGAATATAGAACAGAAAAAACTCGCGCGAAACTATTTACATCGTAGAATATACACCCAAACCCGCCAACCCACTTCCCTCCTCTCCCACACACACGTTGCAAACAATTGCAGGCAGCCCAGCTAAATGAAGGCTGTTTGTGACGAGTGGAGAGAGAGAGAAGAAAAATGTTCGAATATTTAATACCCTAATTTAAACGTAATGTGACTTTTAAGGCAGATGTGCTAAATTCACTTTGGCAGGACCCTGTGTAAAAACCTTAATTGTGGCTGCTATAAGATCACTGATTTATAAGTATTACCCACCAACTTTTACAAACATGTCTGGAAAAATGCCGATAAAGCGTTAAAGTTTAAGAAATACAGAAAAGAAGGAATTTCACCAAGCTTAAATTTATGTTTTGTTGTATATGGAAAAGAGAAATTGACATTTTTTCTTATATTTATTGCTGTCTGCAACACTATTTGACTCAATTGAGCAACAAATTTAATCAGCCAAACAATAATCAAATCATCGAGCGAATGGTTAATTCTAGTCTTGTATCTCGCTAGAATGGGGTTGGGGATTGAGGATTGTGAGTTCAAGGTCACTTTGTAAGCGCAACTGAAGCGGATTATATACTGACATACACAGATTTGCTTGTTATATATAATTTTAATATCTAATTTACAAAACAGTTGGCCGTCCAAGTCGAAAGTTGTGTTGAGTCGAGTGAAGCCTTTGTGGTGGAAAAGTGGAAGTCCGTAATACGTCGGGAGCCAGAGCTTAAAGCCAATTTGTTTGTCGTTGTCGACGCAAAAGATGTGCGATACCAGCGACAAGGCACAGAAATGGAAATGTGAAATATGCACCTATGAAAATTATCCATCCTCCCTAAAATGCACAATGTGCCAGGCATCCAAGCCTTTGCTGAACGAGGATATTTTTCGGTACAACGTGTGATATATTTGATCGATTGGTAAATAATACATTTTTCATTCATTGTAACAGACTCAGTCCAGCGCAGACAATACATGACAACTACAACAACGCAGAGGAGGCGGCAGCAGGTCTGCCTGTCGAGCCCACGTCCACATGCTTTACACGCCAATCAGAGCAGCCCCAGCCACAGCAGGTGCGGCACAGCAACGTAGCTGATAGTGAGAAATGGGCTTGCAAAGTGTGCACCTATCTAAATTGGCCGCGCAGTCTGCGCTGTGTGCAATGCTGTACGAAACGTGGAGCTGCGGATAAAGAGACCAACGAGGCCGGCGAAGCGCTGCAAGCTTTACGCATTAGCGGGTCTGATACGGAGCTCAACCCCACGGAACAAGGCAGTAGGCAGTTAATAGGCGCTGTTGCTCCCAATTCGAATGGACGTAATGGCAGTCCCAGCTTGGAGCAGCAGCAAATCTGCACCAATTCAACGCATCTCAATAATGTAGCCAATACATCTCAAAGCCAGCAACAGCAGCAGCTGCAACAATTAACAAGCCAACAGCAACAGCAGCAGCACCAGAACTTGCCAACGCAGCAGAAGCTGTGCCATGTAGCCAAATGGGCGTGCAATGTGAGCAGTTATAAGTCATTTTATGTATGAGATTAGCTAACAATTTCATGTATCCTTAACAGTCCTGCACGTATGAGAACTGGCCCAAGAGTCTCAAATGCTCCATGTGTGGAAAAACGCGCGAATTGAGCAACTCTGGCTCACAGTCCGATTTGCATGCGTGTGCCAGCAATTCCGGTAGCAATAAGCAGCTAAATCAGCAGGAGGAACAGCAACAGCAGCAGCAGCAGATAAACACGGACACCGTCAGTGCGAACAATTCGTTCAATAAGAAACATATTTACCAACTAGGTATGTAGTAACTGAGTTCTCCACTCTATATAATGTATTTTAATTTAATTATGTATATGGCCTACTTTTATACAGGTTCTTCGGAAACTATCAACAACTGTGATACGCTACAAGAGCGCCAGGAGCGACGTCAGCGTCAGATCAGGCGGCAGGTCGATTGGCAGTGGCTTAATGCTTGCCTTGGTGTTGTGGAGAACAATTACAGCGCTGTGGAGGCGTATCTCTCGTGTGGTGGCAATCCGGCTCGTTCGTTGACCAGCAATGAAATTGCCGCCTTGAATCGTAATTCGGCTTTTGATGTGGGTCACACACTCATCCATCTAGCCATACGTTTCCATCGCGAAGAAATGTTGCCGATGCTCTTGGCACAGATCTCGGGCTCTGGGCCGGGTATTAAGCGTGTACCGTCATATGTGGCCCCTGATCTGGCAGCGGATATACGTCGCCACTTTTCGAATACGCTGCGCATACGCAAATCTGGCCTACCATGCCATTATGTTCAGAAACATGCTACATTCGCGCTGCCCTCAGAAATTGAAGAGCTGCCTATTCCTATACAGGAGCAGCTTTACGATGAACTGCTCGATCGTGATGCCCAGAAACAGTTAGAAATGCCGCCGCCGGCACTCAACTGGTCTCTGGAGATTACAGCAAGGCTGAGCTCACGTCTTTTGGTGCTTTGGAATCGCAGTGCTGGAGATTGCCTACTTGACTCAGCAATGCAGGCCACTTGGGGGGTCTTTGATCGCGACAACATTCTTAGGCGCGCGCTGGCTGACACTTTGCACCAGTGTGGACACGTGTAAGGGGGTCTAATATCATCTCCATGTGAAATCCTTCATATTTTCATGTATATTCCACAGTTTTTTTACCCGCTGGAAGGAATACGAAATGCTGCAGGCATCAATGCTGCACTTCACTCTAGAGGACTCGCAGTGGGAAGAGGATTGGAGCACGCTGCTGTCTTTGGCCAGCCAACCGGGCTCTTCATTGGAGCAGTTGCATATATTTGCCTTGGCCCACATATTAAGACGACCAATCATTGTGTACGGCGTTAAATATGTGAAGAGTTTTCGCGGCGAGGACATTGGCTATGCTCGATTTGAAGGTACGTTTGGCATGCAACGTTATAAGCGAAAAAATTAAATAGGACAACAATTATGCCATTAATTATATATTTGCTAGATTAGACGAAATACGTTCGTATATGTCTCAAAATAAGACCTATATCTGCAACTGTCTTAGATGATTGTAAATAGTAGTCAAGTATTATTTTCTATTCTTATATATTTGTTTCTAGGTGTATATCTACCTTTATTCTGGGAACAAAACTTTTGTACAAAATCGCCCATTGCACTGGGCTATACACGCGGTCACTTTAGTGCTTTGGTGCCAATGGAGCCGTTCTCCCGCATCGATGGTCGTCGGGATGATGCCGAGGATGTCACTTATCTGCCCCTAATGGACTGCGAACTGAAGCTGTTGCCCATACACTTTCTTGCACAATCGGAAGTGAGTGCCAATCAACAGAAGATCAAATCTATATGAAAGATTTCACTGTTGTTCGCTTGCAGGTGGGCAATGAGGAAGCAATGATGCGTCAATGGTTGGATGTGTGTGTCACCGATGGGGGGCTGCTGGTGGCGCAGCAAAAGTTATCTAAGCGACCGCTGCTGGTGGCACAGATGCTGGAGGAATGGCTGAATCATTATAGACGCATTGCGTGAGTCCGCCAAATTCAATGATATCTTATTGATTATATTTATATATATGCTTAAACAGTTTAATTTATTGATTTGACTTGTAGACAAGTGATAACTGCACCCTTTGTGCGTCGGCCGCAGATAAGCCACTATTCGAGCGATGGTGATTCGGATGAGGAATAACGGCGGCAAAGGTGAAAGGTCTTCTTTAATTGAAATTTAGCGCATGGTTAATGGATTGGAAATGAATTGGTTATATATATATATATATATATAGTATATATATATAGTATATATATATATATATATATATATATATATATATATATTTATATGAATATATATACATACCAGTTAAGTAGTTGTGGGCAAACTAAGGATTCACCAGCAATGTAATAAAAATACATTAAATAATATATATATATATACAGAAAACTATACGTATATATATTGAAAATATATATATTTATATTTGTATATATGTTAATCTGCACACATATTTCATATCCGTTTCCACCTTAACTTCAGTGGATTTTAGTCAAATTTATTCGCGTAATTCGGAGTGGGAGACAGACGGACAGATATTGTCAACATTAGAAAGCAAAAAGAAAAAACAAATTATATTTCAATATTATAAAGTAGTTTACTTAAAAAGGAGAATCTTTTAGAAGAGCGAATGGAAATCGAGAAATCAGAAATATTGATAAAGATTGAGTAAATTATATATGTATATGATTCTTATAATTAATTAAGTATGTATGTACTTTTAAACTATGCAAAATCTCGATGTACTATTAAATTTTAACTTTATGAAAGGAGTGCACCAAATCGGGTGAATATGAATTTTATTCTAATTGTAATAGTTTTGTTAGTAATGTTATTATTATTATTATTATTATTACTATTATTATTATAATGTTTAAGAAAGCTTATTGTGCAAATGTACACGCAAAACGCATTAAAAAAAAAAAAGAATCAAAAATTTTCCGCCTTTTCTATCGATAAGTATACAGCTCAGATATCGATAGTCTAGTTGGCTCCCCTCTAATTGTATCTGAGATACTCTCTCGTTGCGGCTCATTTAAAAGATAGTCGCTTTGTTGCTGCCGTCGTCGTCGCTTGTCGGTGCTGTTTGTTGCTGTGCGGGTTTTTTTTTGTGGAATAGCTTCAAATTGGAATTTATATTTGTTAAGCTACTGTAGTAGAAGCATGCAAGAAAAGCCCGAAACAACTTAATTTCACTGTGATTTTCCTGAATTTTTGGACATCAATATCATTTTGTGAATGCAGAAAGTCGAATGCGCATCGAGTTCGCGTCAAACACATACATACATACACATGCACGCAGAGCCCCAGCCACCTACAATTGATACATAAATACACGTGAATTGCGAATGCATACGGGAAAGATACAAATAGAAAAAAATCTAACATAGGAAAAAATTTGTTAGTGAAGTGAAGTGAAGGGTCTGGCTAAATTAGTAGTGGTGACCTGTGCGCCAATACCACTCTTGTTGTTGCCTTTTATTCGTGCGTGTGTTTGTGTGTGTTACCCTCCCCCATATTGCAGGCGCTAGAGTGAAGAGTATAGCTGTATCTCTCGCAATGGGTAAGTCGTTGGTAGTAGTAGTGCCGACACTGAATACGGTTGACTATATATTAAGTATGTGTGTGAGCGAACAAAATTGCGCAAAGCCGAAGACCACGAGTGTCAGTAAAAGAGGGTGGCCAGGCGCGCTCTCTTTCGCTCTCTCTCTCTTTCTCTCTGTCTTTCCGTCTCTCTATCGCTCTATCTTGTACTTTTTGTGTGTGCTCTCATATTTATGTATGTGAGCGCATGTGTATATATACATATAGTTAGTAGATGGTATTAACACATCAGTAGCGTATTATGGCACGTTATAAGGAAACCAGTAAAATTTCGCTAAGTGTGTGCGTGCAATTGTTAATCAATACTGCCAGCTGGTTAGGTCCATCGACTGAGAGCTTCAGTACTAAAAAACCGAACTCCGATACTCACACACACACACATATGATTGCTTTTCATCGTCCACTCCCCATTTTGGTTCTCAGCTGCTATGACGTCAGTTTGGTTGTAAGAACGAACTTTTTGGTTCCTATTAAATAGCCCACCGTATCCAACGACAGGGCCCCAAATTGGCGGCCGTACATATGTACATATAAGCGAATCAGATTCAAAATGCAACTACAATTACACATGTTACCGTTAGGGCGTCGTCATCGTGAATACCTGTTAATTTACCGTTCGTCTCGCTCCCTGGGAACCGAATGCAGCTGGGAATCCAATGGTAACCTAAGTCGTTCGTTGTAATTGCATAGCTCTCCTGCAGTTTCTTCTTTGTCTCTATTTTTCATGAGCTTCTGCTTATGTTTCTGCTTCTACTCTTCCTACAGTTGTTTATGATTAATTGCTATGGCTCGACGTCCGGTCCTCTCGCCCTAATTAAGTTCATGTGCTTAGCTCTCAGCTCTCAGCTTTTGGACTGCGCCAGCGAACACTTGTAGTTGTGTGCGTGCTTAGAGTGCCTAATTGACTTGGGCAGCCGTCCACCGCTCCGCCCCCTCTATGGCCCAATATGGAAGCAAGTCCATAATGTGCAGGGCTCGTTCAACGATCTCAACGCAAAAGGCTTAACAATAGCCAGAGACAACATCACTAGGATTACTAACATTGCCGACCGGCTGATACCCAGCAGCATAAAGCATACATCATACACAGACATATAAATAAGCATTGGGTATTTATCTATCTACATACATATATGCCATTATAGAACGCTTCAATACCTAGTGATCGACTATTAACGAACTTAAACTTTACGTGCTATAAACCGTTGGCAATGATACACTCTTAGCGGCAGCTCAACTACCTGATTGCAATGCTTACAATGCTTCCAGGGTATAAAACAACAGCAACTGCTCAACATGAATTCATGCGCAGAGCATTGACTTCACATTGGGCCTCGCTTTTGGTTGTGGTTTTTGATGTTCGCTGTGGTTTTTTATTTGGTTTCCTTTTTATTTTTGTTTTGTTTCTGTTTCATGTTTGCCCCGTTGAGCGCACGGCACAAATAAAAATGAAAGGGGCGACATGAGCTGCCCATGCCGCAGTACCCTCCCCAACCCAGCGCAGTCGCCTCTTTACTTTGTGGCACTTTTCTCATCTATTTGGTCGTTGATTTGTTCATGTCGTGCACTCGCCTGCATCTCATTTGCTCGCCCCTTCGGCTGGACGGGTTATATAGGTCAGAGCACTTGCATGAGAAAGTGGAAACGTCCTCCACGTCGCGACGTCCGTTCGACTAATTGAATGCTATTTTTGTAGACGCAGCGTCATCATCAGCTTCTGCATTCACGCAGTTCGCTGCGCTGTGCTTTTCTTTTCACTTTTCTTTTTCCGTCTAATAAACATACGGGAATCACTCTTAACGTGGACGCAAACAACCAAAAATATGAGCCGTTAAAGTGGCCTCTGTAAAGAGTACGCGACTAACGATTACCCTATTTGCAACTACGAGAAACTTTCACATCTTCGGATACAATTTAAAATTGCCAGCTCAGTGGAATTTTCAATAGTTTGAGCTCGAATGGCTAAATGTATCTCCGGCCTCACAGTTTGGAATTACTGATTTATTCCAAAAAATGAAAGAGAAACCTTACTACTTCATTATATTATTCTGAACTGACCATACTCTGTATTTTCACTCTACTGTGTCTTACGAGAGATTATGTATACCTCAGGTTAAGCTCATAAAACAACACTTGCCAAACAATTTCAATTTGATGAGTAATTCTTTAAATAGACACACATATAAGTATATATTTGTATGCGTATGTGTATATCTATTTGATTATGTTATGGATATTTACCATAAATATAAATACGAATACTTTTTGTATTCGTATGAGTGTGTGGGCGTGTCATTCATTTCGATTGCTTCTCCAATGTGGCATGTTTTTTTGTTCTCTTCACAATATACTATATTCTCATAATGTTTGCTGTCATTCGGATGTGGCCTTTCAGATGCATTGCCCTTGCGGCGTTATCCCGTCAAGGATTTGACGCACATTTCACTCACAGTCTGCGCGCGCTAGGGCAGGGCCAAGGACAGTGGCAATGCGTGCTTCGACTGACTGTGCTTGCTGTTGGCACTGGCCTCTTCAGGGTCATCGCGCAGTTCTTATACCCTGTAAACACAAGTGAAAATGGCCATTTGGTTCTCAACATAAACGACGTTTACATGTCTTAAGATCGAGTGCAGTATAATTTGACGAGTCACAAAAATCAATATTCACATTTTTACTGCCATATAACTCGCAATTAAACATGCTCTCTTTTTCTATTGTTTTCTCTCTTATTCTCTCTCTCTCTTTCTGTCTCTCATCGTCTCTCAGGTGGGAAAACAGAGTATTGTGTTTCGATGACGTCTTGCTGCAGGTTTTCGACGAGAGACTTGGAATGTTTCGGTAAAGTGGGGCGCGGCTTTAATTAATTAAATATTTGGCTTGCAGTTGACCTCTCTGCCAGCCAGACAATTTAACCTTGGAATTGCGTCCCTCTCTTACGCCTGGCTAACAAAAACAAGCTCGTTCTTGTTGTTTTTCTTTTTTATTTAATTTTTTGTTCAGCATTACTCAAATTTAAATTCGATACTGAATGTTATTCTTTCCCATAACCAGTTTGTGAGGTTATGTGCGTACTTTTTTGTGGCCCAACTCCAATTCGTGGTGGGTCGCCGACTCTCTGACGGCGAGGATGACATCATCCAAGAGCGGAGGCACTAAAATCGCTGTCGCCATTACAATAAACATTTTTTCCAACAATATAGTCGGGGACCCGTCGACCACAGCGAAGCTGATCTGCCATGAAAACTACAAATTTCGCCACATTTTCACAGCGAAAAACTCATTGAAAAAATTGTGAGTTGTGGCCATGTAATTAACATGGATCTGTTAATGGAATAGGCGGACGGAGGGAAGCTGTTGAAAGTCAATAAACAAAATGCCAAATTAAATATGCGAAGCGCTGAAAATATGTCTGTGATTGCATAATAAACGAGCGGCAAAAAAAAGTTTAATTGAAACGAAATACACGTATGCGTAATGTGTGTGGTTGTGTTTATGTATGTGTGTAGCGGGACTGTGTTGATTTGTGTGTGTTGACGATTGTGTTTCTGTTTGCGCCAGCTGCGGGCTTCATTCAGTGGGACAGACATACGTCACCGTTATAATGCGACGAGCTAACGGCATT